GATGAGATGGGTGGGGGCGGGCTGGTTGGGGTCTGTTAGAGGAAGCCAGCGTGCGGAGAAGGCGTGGATGGCCTGGTTGAGGGTTTGGTCGATCTGGGTCTCCTTGGATGAGTCTGTAGGGGTGGGAGGAGCTCCTTGGGCCTCGAGGTCTTTGACGAGGCGGTCGAACTGTCGACAGAGGGAGGAAATGCTAACAGACAGCGAGAGATCCGTGGGGCGTTGGTATCCATGCTCGCCGAATCTAGTTCGTCAGACGTGTGACATGTTTTGTTGCTGGCATATACTTACGCAAATGGACAGCTGTAGCTCCCTAGCCAGGAGCCAAAGACTGCTTCAAAGACGTTCTCGTACATGGCCCGGAGCCAGTTTTCGATGTCGGGAGTCGTGCCAACCGGTGGCTGCGTGTCTTCATTTCTATCTGGAGTGGCAGCTCTTTTCATCCACTGCTCCCGTCAGACCATGATGTTCTCTTTTGGCAGAGAGCATACCTCGAAGCTACACGGCCGGTTCCGTTTCGCACATCGCGAACAAGGAATGCTGGTGTCCTCGGGGGACTGTCCTCGCCTGGCGTCGCATGCGACACGCGATCTACGACAGGCATCGCAGCTGGAGAATTGTCTGCGACGGATCCGATCGTGCATTTTGGATGTGAGTACATGAGGTGGAGGAAGCGAGGATGATCACCCCGCATTTGCAGAATACGACGTCGTATCGAGTCTAGGCAGCCGAGGTACCACCATGAACAGACAGCGCCTGCATACTGAAGAATTAAGAGCATATCTTCATCAAGGATTGTCCAAGCCATACCATCGGATCCGACAGCATCTTTACACACTATACACCAAGAGGATCGGATCCGTGACCCCGCATTGTAGCCTATCCATATAGAGCATCGATCCGATGACTGCTTCAGCTTCAATTCCCACAACGTGGATGCGGGCAGTAGTTATAAGATGACATAAAGCCACTCCCTCTGTGCACCTCGCCTCTCGACCGGTTCAACTGCATGGCTAAAATGTTGTCTGCCTATTTGATCCTCATCGCAACCGCTGTCTCTGCTGCCACTCTCGGCGCCTACAACGTCGACCCTGGCTCCGTCTCCGTCTCTGGGCTCTCCAGCGGCGGCTTCATCTCTGCCCAGCTGGGAGTCGCATACTCTGATGTCTTCCCCATGGGGTTTGGCGTGTTCGCAGGAGGACCCTACGACTGCGCCCGCAATCAATACGTATGCATTTCTGCCCGTCCCTCCATGACCTCATCTCACAGAATCAGTACTTGAACTGCATGTATAACAACCGCCCCTTCATCTCCCTCCCAACAGCCAACATGAAGACCTGGAGCGGCAGCAAGATTGCCCCTCTGTCCAACCTCGCCCACCGCAGAATCTACCTCCAGGTCGGCACGGCAGATACCACCGTCGGCCCAAACGTCATGACCCAGCTGCAGAGCCAGCTCGCCCAATTCGCCAACCCCAGCAACATCACCTTCATCACCACCCAGGGCGCAGCACACACCTTCCCGACAGACCTCGACACCTCGGGCAACAACCCCTGCAGCATGGCGACCTCCCCCTACATCAGCAACTGCGGCTACGACGGCGCCGGCGGCGTGCTGAACTGGCTGTACGGATCCCTGCGCCCCCGCACCGAGGGCACACTGTCCGGGTCGGTGGTCTCATTCGCGCAGAGCGGCGGGTACGGGGCAGCTGGCATGGGTGATACAGGCTATCTGTATGTGCCTGCGGCGTGCCAGTCCGGCGGACGGTGCAAGCTGCATGTTGCGATGCATGGGTGTCTGCAGAGCCAGGGGCTGATCGGGGAGAAGTTCATTGTGAACACGGGGTACACGCGGTGGGCGGATGCGAACGACATGCTGGTGCTGTTTCCGCAGGCGACGGTGGATTATTCGCTGCGTGTGATCTGGGGGGGAACGCTGCTTTCGAACCCGAATGGGTGCTGGGATTGGGTGGGATGGTATGGCCAGGATGCGGATCAGAGGACTGGTGAGTTGATCCTTTCCGGCCTGTCTTCTGATACTGATGGTGATGGTGCCTGTAGGGGTGCAGATGGCGGCTGTGGTTAATCAGGTTAAACGGATTACCAGTGGTTGGCAGGGTGGTCTTTAGGAGATCCAAGCCGTGACAAAAGAGGCAATTGCTCGATCTATACAGGCAGAGGAATATTCTCTCAGGCTGAACTCTTCTCGTCGGCAAAATGGCTGGCATCAATTGCCGTGGTCTGGATAGAGGACTACTACCGGCGGGGGGATCGACACGCGGATATTAAAGCAACACTTGGCTGAAACAAGCCCAGTCGCAGAGTGACACTTTCTGCAGTAATTCTTCACATAGATTGATTTTGTCTTAGGGATGAATACTGAATATAGCCTAAACGGACAACATGCCTTAATCCTGTGGAGCAACTGTAGTCTCGATAGTATCGTGCCAGGTCAGGGTCTCGACTATAAATACCGGCTCTCGGAAGACTTCAGTCTCTCAGCAACACACTTCAAGCACTCAAGAACCTGATCCGAACTCGATCAAGCATCCAAAATGGTTGTCCTCAGCAAGCTCCTCAGCAGCATTCTCTTTACCTCCCTCGTCTCGGCGGCCAGCATCAACCAGGCCTTTACAGCCCATGGCAAAAAGTACTTTGGCACCTGCAGCGACCAAGGTCTGCTCCAGAACTCGCAGAACGAGGCCATTGTGCGCGCCGACTTTGGCCAGTTGACGCCGGAGAACAGCATGAAGTGGGATGCTACTGAGCGTAGGTCCGCTGTCACTGCTGGTTGACTCTCACTGATCTGTGTAGCATCGCGGGGAAACTTCAACTTTGCCGGTGCTGATTATCTAGTATGCTTGCTGTCCTCCCTATGTCGAGTACATGTGCTAAGTTGAATAGGTCAACTATGCCAAACAGAATGGCAAAAAGGTCCGCGGACACACCTTAGGTATTTCAATGTATCAGCTCTCTCAAAGATACAGCTGACAATGTAGTCTGGCACTCCCAACTCCCCTCCTGGGTGTCGTCCATCACCGACAAAAACACCCTGACCTCGGTGCTGAAAAACCACATCACCACCGTGATGACCCGGTACAAGGGCCAGATCTACGCCTGGGTAAGTCCTCATCCATCCCACACGAAGCCCAGCTAATAACGCAAAAAGGACGTCGTCAACGAAATCTTCAACGAGGACGGCTCCCTCCGCGACAGCGTCTTCTACCGGGTCCTCGGCGAGGACTTTGTGCGGATTGCCTTTGAGACGGCGCGCTCCGTGGATCCCTCTGCGAAGCTGTACATCAACGACTACAAGTAAGCGTTTGTTTCCGCTGGACTCGGTGCCGTCTATCTGACCTTTTAAGTCTCGACACGGCCAGCTACGCCAAAACGCAGGGGATGGCGAGTCACGTCAAGAAGTGGTTGGCTGCGGGCATTCCTATTGACGGAATCGGTAAGCTTTGCGTCGCATTGCCAGCGTGATAATGCATACTGACTCTGATGAAAAGGCTCTCAAAGCCATCTGGGTGCCGGTGCTTCTTCTAGCGTCAAAGGATAAGTCTACTCTCTGGGTTGTGTCTTCGTAACGCTGACCCCGTGTACAGCATTGTCTGCCCTCGCCTCCTCCGGCGTCTCTGAGGTCGCTATTACCGAGCTGGATATCGCGGGTGCGAGCTCCCAGGATTACGTTAATGTATGTCTTGTGACCACCCGTTTCCTGTAGATTGAAACTAACAAGACAGGTTGTCAATGCATGCTTGGGTGTCCAGCAGTGTGTGGGAATCACCGTCTGGGGGGTGTCGGACAAGGACTCGTGGCGCTCCAGCTCGTCTCCGCTGTTGTTCAACAGCTACTACCAGCCCAAGGCGGCGTATAATGCCATCATTGCTGCTCTGTAAACTGTACATAGGGTGGAACTGATCAGTTGAAGAGGCTACGGTGTGGCGCATGGGATGTGATGAGCTGGACAATTCCATCACCTTGCATAAGCAGTGTGACGGGCCACTTCAATGAAGATCGAATCATCTGTCAGCCGTATATGCAAGTACAGTGGCTAAAATAGAAACACCGTCTGGATTGGAATGTTACCGTCAGCACAGTCAGCGCTGATCGCTGGGTATAAATGCCGTTCTTGGCCCCTCCCATGTCACAGTAGATCATGGCTCCATACTTTTTCATCGCTATTGTCGGCATCCTCAGCCATGTCTTTTACTTTCGACATGGCGAGCATCATCTCTACGGCCTCACCTATCTCCTCCTCTTTGTCATCTCCACCACCGTCGTCACCGTATTCTTCCACTACAGCTATGTCCTGGTCTATCTTGCCAGCCTTTATATCAGCCTTCTGATATACCGTCTCCTCCTCCACCCGCTGCACTCCTTCCCCGGCCCTTTCCTCGCCCGTATCTCAAGTTTCTGGTCCATCTCCCCAAAGCACAAAACACATATCACCCTCCAGGCCTTACACAGAAGATATGGCCCGATTGTGCGCACCGGCCCGTCAGACCTCTCCATAATCTATCCGTCCGCCATCCCCGCCATCTACGGCCCGCAATCCCAATGCACAAAAGCCCCCTGGTACGACATGGCCTATCCGTCCCGGCCCCTGCAGAACTGCCGTAACGTCAAAGAGCACAACGCCCGGCGACGAACCTGGAGCCCCGCATTCAGCGACAAGATGATCCGCGGGTACGAGCAGCGGGTCCGGATCTACCAGCAGCAGCTCATCGCGCAGCTAACCGCCTTGCAGTCCGTCGACGTGAGCAGGTGGTTCTACCTGTACAGCTTCGACGTCATGGGCGACCTCTCCTTTGGCCGGGGGTTCGACTGCCTGCAGACCGGCCGGGAACACTGGGCCATCACCCTGCTGACCTCCGCCATGAACCAAGTCGGGCTTTTCCTGCCGCCGTGGCTGTTCCTCGTTTTACTCAAAATCCCGGGGCTGACGAGGGACTGGTGGCGCTTCCTGGCCTTCTGCAGCGAGCGGCTCAACGCGCGCATGCGCATGAAGGTGCAGATACCGGATATCAGCGCCTCGCTGCTGGCCCCGCTGGACGGGAGGGAGCCCACCCCGGCCGAGAAGCTGATGCTCGACGGCGATGCGCGGCTGATCATCGTCGCGGGCAGCGATACCACCGCCGTAACGCTGTGCGCGATCCTGTACGAGCTCGTGCGGCATCCGGAGCAGATCCGGCGACTGCGGGCGGAGGTCGAGCCGTTTGTTGATGGGGCGGGGGAGGTGCTTGGGTCGGACGTTGCGCTTTTTGGGCATCTGAACGGGGTGATTAATGAGGCGTTGAGGATGTATCCGCCTGTGCCGGGGGCGTTGTGGCGGAAGACGCCCGCGGAGGGCATTCAGGTGGAGGGGGTGCATATCCCCGGCGAGACGACGGTGTTTTGCCCGCAATATGCGATGGGGAGATGTAAGTCTGTAGGGAAATGGTGCCAGACGAGATGCTAATCTGTAGCACAGCTGAGCTATGCTATGTGCGGCCGGACGAGTTCATCCCCGAGCGATGGTACAAGGACCCGGACCTGATCAAGGATCGCTTGGCCTTTGCGCCGTTTACCACCGGTACTTATCCCTCTGTGATCCCGATGTACTGATACTGACAGCGATAGGTCCATATAACTGTATCGGCCGACCACTGGCATTGCTGAATCTGCGCACTACACTCGTCAAACTGATAACCACCTTTGATGTGGGATTTGCCCCCGGGGAGGACGGACGGGCATTTGTGCAGCAGGCGCAGGACAACTTTGTGCTGTACATGGGGCCGTTGCATTTGGTTTTTACCCGTAGGAAGGGAAGAGGTCAGTCAGTTTAGTGATAATGCCATTGTCAGCACGAGTTATACCATCTGAATTTGTGCCTGAGGCATGATGGTCCTTGAAAGCTTAGATGGCAAGACAGATGATATGGATTGGAGAATAGAAGGATAAGCTGTTAGGAAGTAGGGACAGCAGACTTTGCATTAAAGGGTGGACTGTCCTGATGTATGTAAGTATTGCCAGAGGCACAGAGAGCTCAGTGGGCTAGATTTTTCACGTAGTTGTGGATTAGGTCTTCATCCCTATAGAAGCTGCATCTACACTGGATTAGATTTATATGGAATAGTTTATTTATTTGTAAATCATGATATGTTTCTAAAGCCAGACATGCCTCTAATATGATTAAGCTACCTCTAGCAGAATATTATGTCTTAACTGCATATAGTTGTGAATACATATTCTGTATAAACCAAGCATAATCCATGGACAATAAAGTGATTGACCAATCACACAGCCTTGCCAGAATCTTCCATTGGCTAGTCTCTAGCTGAAACAGCCCACTCACACAACACATGGCCAATGGCAATTGAATATCTCCATCATCAGAAAGACACATCAGAGCCATAAATAGTATACTATCTGTTTCCTATCACTTCCGAAGACAAGGATGCGTTGGGTGGAAGCAACAGAAATTTAGCCAGCTTCCACCTCGCTTCATCATCTTCATCATGTATTATCTGAGATTGAGACCATACTTGTTATATCCGCAATATCAACATTGACCTACCCCACGGTCACACTCACTTCTTGGCTCTAAAGTACCCACCCTGTCATCTATTACTACTACTCCGACCTAGGCGAGACTTCTACCAGATGGGCCTCACAACCGCCGCCATCATCGTCATCGTCATCGTCGCCTGTCTAGCCGCCGTCTCGCTGGGCGCCGCTCTCACCCGCCAACTCTACCCCGCCGAAGCCTACGAGCGCCGATTCCAGCCCTCGCATGACCAGGAGCGGTATATGCGGTCGGTGCGGATGAAGAATCTGGGGATCTTTCATAGGGAGAGTACTCCTGTGAGGATGGGGATGGGTGTGGGCAAGGACGTGGAAAGTCGGTGTACGTTTCTCGGTCGAGCGAGCTTTTGAGTTGATGCTGATGGAGTAGATACCGTTGATGAGGTTGCGAGTTCGAGGGGATGATCTGATGGATATGGATAGGATATGATAGGATATGATAGGATACCATGGCGTCATGATTGACGGATTGATATGATATGATTATGAATGGACGAGTCTCATCAGGTATACCTGCTTCTGTCTTGCCTTGATTCAAGTCTGTATGGAGTATGCATACAGCGTGGCCATGCAGTCCAATTGAGAATGAGTCATTGTATACAGTTTCCATCTGCTGAAAAGAACGGGCAACGCCCAGTCGTCCTCCACCAGCGTCCGCTTTCTTGGCAACCGGAGGAATTGTCTTGGCGCCATCCCAGATTGGCTCCCCAGAACACGTGCGACGCTCTGGTCGCATGCGGTGGGGAATGGGCTCGTGGAGACTCGCTGGATGCGACGATGCGGGCAGTTTGTGACGTCGTTGGCACCCATGGCAAGGCCAGTGCCAATGCCAGTGCCAATGCCCGACTCTCGGCGCCAAGGGGCCTCTTGAGCTGAGTTTTCGTCGTGGTGGGGGTTCCCACGTTTATAAAAGTCGTTCTTCCCTCTGCTGCTTCCCACTCAGCTCATCTTTTCTCCCAGTAGAATCAATCGAGTGACTCGGTATGGAGAAAGGCGATATTCCCGGCTCCAGCTCTGGCTCCGGCTCCGGCCAGGCCCCCCTCTCCCAACCAGCTCATACACTTCCCTACGAGGTTGTGCTCAGGGAACTTGCCACTCAACTCGATGAGGGTCTCACCCCCGACGAGGCTGCCCGTCGTCTCCAGACGTACGGTCCCAATAAACTTGACGAAGGCGAGGGTGTCTCCGTGGTCAAGATCCTTGTCCGGCAGGTGGCCAACGCAATGATGCTAGTTAAGGGACCCACTTTGCTTCTGAGCAGACCCCTTGCAAACGAACTTGTCTGATCCAATTCTAGGTCCTGATCCTGGCCATGGCGGTCAGCTTTGGCATCCAGTCGTGGATCGAAGGCGGCGTCATCTGCGCCGTGATCGTCCTCAACATCGTCGTCGGCTTTTTCCAGGAGTATGCCGCCGAGAAGACCATGGAGTCCTTGCATTCGCTCAGCTCGCCCACGGGGACGGTCTCCCGTGGGGGACAGACGTTTTCCGTCCCCAGTGCGGACATTGTGCCTGGGGATATGGTCGAGTTGCGCACCGGGGATACTGTCCCGGCGGATATTCGGTACCCCTCCTCCCCCCGAACACCTTGTTGTGAATGAAGCTGACATGAAGCACAAAGTCTGGTCGAAGCAGTCAACTTCGAGACAGATGAAGCCCTTCTTACCGGTGAATCCCTCCCCGTCCAGAAAGACTGCGACGCCACCTTCAAAGAAGACACCGGCCCCGGCGACCGGCTCAACCTCGCCTACAGCTCCAGCACCGTCACCCGCGGCCGTGCCCGCGGCGTCGTCATTGCGACCGGCATGGCCACGGAGATTGGGTCTATTGCTGCGGCCCTGCGCGCGGGAGACCGCCGCCGCCGACCCGTCAAGCGGGGCCCCAACGGCGAGACCAAGAAACGCTGGTATGTGCAGGCCTGGACGCTGACCGGGACCGACGCGGTGGGCCGGTTCCTGGGTGTCAATGTGGGGACGCCCTTGCAGCGGAAGCTGTCGAAGCTGGCGATCCTGCTGTTTGGCATCGCGGTGCTGTTTGCCATTGTGGTGATGGCGGCGAACAAATTCTCCGACAGCAACGAGGTGATTCTGTACGCGGTGGGCACGGGGCTGAGTATGATTCCGGCGTGTCTGGTCGTCGTGTTGACCATCACCATGGCCGTGGGAACCAAACGCATGGTCGAGCGGAATGTCATCGTGCGCAAGCTCGACTCCCTCGAGGCCCTGGGCGCCGTCACGGACATCTGTTCCGACAAGACGGGCACGCTGACGCAGGGCAAGATGGTCGTCAAGAAGGCGTGGATCCCGTCCGCCGGCACGTACTCGGTTGGCACCTCCAACGAGCCGTTCAACCCGACTGTTGGGGACGTCACGTTCACCCCCGTGCCCCCGGTGCGCTTTGACGAGGAGAAGGAGGGTGCGGCCATCGACGACCTCGAAGCATCTGCCACCGGTAACCCCCGGCTGGGAGAATTCCTCAACGTCGCCGCCATGGCCAACCTGTCGCACGTCTACCACTCCGAGGAAGGCGAGTGGCACGCGCGCGGCGAGCCCACGGAGATCGCCATCCAGGTCTTCGCCGCGCGGTTCAACTGGAACCGCGACCGGTGGACCAAGGGCGATCGTCCCGTCTGGCACCAAAAGGCCGAGTTCCCCTTCGACTCGACCGTCAAGAAGATGTCGGTCGTCTTCACCCGGTGGGAGGACCAGACCGAACGCAGCATGGTCTTCACCAAGGGCGCGGTCGAGCGGATCCTCGACGCCTGCACAACCGTCATCTGGGACGCGGACTCGTCCACCCCGATCCCCCTGACGGACGACCACCGCGCGGACATCCTGCAGAACATGGAGGAGCTGGCCAAGCTGGGGCTGCGCGTGCTGGCTCTGGCCCACAAACCCTACACCGAGGAGGGCCGGCTGCTCGAAGGGGCCGACCTGCAGCGCGACGAGATCGAGCGCGACCTGTGCTTCCTCGGCCTGATCGGCCTGTACGACCCCCCGCGCCCGGAAACCGCCGGCGCCATCCGCGAGTGCTACCAGGCCGGCATCGCCGTGCACATGGTGACGGGCGACCACCCGGGCACGGCCAAGGCCATCGCCCAGCAGGTGGGGATCCTCCCCGCGGATCTGGGCACGGTGGCCGCAGACGTGGCCGACGCCATGGTCATGACGGCGGGGCAGTTCGACAAGCTCACGGACCGCGAGATCGACGCGCTCCCGACGCTGCCGCTCGTCATCGCGCGCTGCGCCCCGCAGACCAAAGTGCGGATGATCGACGCGCTGCACCGGCGCGGCCAGTTCGCGGCGATGACCGGCGACGGCGTCAACGACTCCCCCTCGCTCAAGCACGCGGACGTGGGCATCGCGATGGGCCAGGCGGGCTCGGACGTCGCCAAGGACGCCTCGGACATCATCCTGACGGACGACAACTTCGCCTCGATCCTCAACGCCATCGAGGAGGGCCGGCGCATCTTCGACAACATCCAGAAATTCGTCCTGCACCTGCTCTCCGAGAACATCGCGCAGGCGTGCACCCTGCTCATCGGCCTCACCTTCAAGGACCGCGACGGCCAGTCCGTCTTCCCGCTCGCCCCCGTCGAGATCCTCTGGATCATCATGATCACCTCGGGCATGCCGGACATGGGGCTGGGCATGGAGGTCGCCGCGCCGGACATCATGGCCCGCCCGCCGCAGACCAAGCAGGGCATCTTCACCTGGGAGGTCCTCGTCGACATCCTCGTGTACGGCCTGTGGACGGCGGCGCTCTGCCTCGCGTCCTTCTCGGTCGTGGTCTGGGGCTTCGGCGACGGCGATCTCGCCCGCGGCTGTAACCGCGACTACTCGGCCGCCTGCGACCTGGTGTTCCGCGCGCGCGCGACCACCTTCGTCTGCCTGACGTGGTTCGCGCTCTTCCTCGCCTGGGAGATGGTCGACATGCGCCGGTCGTTCTTCCGCATGCAGCCGGGCTCGACCAGGTACCTGACGCAGTGGATGTACGATGTCTGGCGGAACCAGTTCCTCTTCTGGTCGATTGTCGCCGGGTTCGTGACGACCTTCCCGATCCTGTATATCCCCGTCCTGAACCACGTGGTGTTCAAGCATACGGGCATCTCGTGGGAATGGGGGATTGTCTTTGTCGAGGCGGTGCTGTTCTTCCTGGGCGTGGAGCTGTGGAAGTTCGCCAAGAGGGTGTACTTCCGTCGGGTGGGAGGGAAGGTCGACAGTGTACAGGCTTAACTGCGGGCCCAAGTATATATGTTGTTCTTGTCGGTAATAGGGGGTGAGGGGAGCTAGGAGCAGTAGATATAGGTAGTACGAACTAGTAGATAGACAGCTAGGTAGAAAAGTCGCTTGATTGATAGGCCGCCATCACTCCCAAATCCCTCATAGCCTCGAATCACTGGCACTCCTAAATCCCTCATATCCTCGATCTCCAAGCGATCCACCTCATACACATACCCCGTCAGTCCCGTGGACGAGCTTACTCCCTCCAATCCCTAAACGGCAGAAACTCAACCCCGCAGCATCAGCAGCAGCATCCTCCCCAAGCTCCTCCCTTGTCTTCCGTCGGATATCCTCACGGTGAACGTGAGCATCCCGTAATCCGTCTACACCATCAGCAAGTACCGAGAAACAAGGCAGAGGCCATGTACATGGTGAATGAGAGCCACGTCTTGAGTCCCAGCAACCGCTGCGAAATCACCAGACTGCAAAGCCTCGCTGCCCTCCCCGCGTTACGGATGACGTGCGCGTCGCCTTCGGAGAGACCGAGTCAGATGGATACATACTGTAGGAGTATTAACTGGGTGAGAGATGGTGTTGGTGTCCAGATGGTCTGGTGTATTTATGTTAAACCGAGGATATGGTGACATGGACTCTGGCATGAATTTGGCTATAGATTGATATACACAAACGATGCACGTCAAGCTTCCTTATCTTGATGCGCTCTCTCTCTCCACCCATGCTCCAATCCCAGGACCTTCCCAGTAATGATTCCCTTGATGGTCAACAGAGTCAAGACAACCGCAATGATAACCAGCATCAGCAGCAGCGCCGTCGACCACACCGAAAACGCCGGCGAATCCATGATTTTCCCAAAGTGCACCGCACAGTTCGTATATATCCCCTGTCCTGTCAATAAACCTCGGCCAGAGCGAAAGCGAAGGAAGACTTACCCAAGGGAACACCAACGACCAAGCCCCCATACTAAACGTCGTCTTCCTGAACCCCCCCGGCTGCGTCGCCACCGTATGCAGAATACTGATGATCGCAAAACACCACCAAACGTGCCAAACCCCCACGACAACACCGCCGCAAACTGGCTCACCGCGGCAATCGGGCCGGCCGCCTGCGCCGTCAACAGCGTGCCGCGCGCATACGCAGGGAAACTCTTCTGCACCGCGGCCCCGAGGATCTGCAGCGCGAAGCCGCCCTGCCCGAACGTCCCGCACAGGATCATGTCCTGCCACACCTTCTGCACGGGCAGATGCGAGTCGGAGAAGTGCTGGAAGAGGATGACGGCGTCGTAGCCGACGGCGAGGGTGATGCCCGCGCCGACGAGCAGGTACGAGACGATGATGAGCGGGACTTGCAGACGAGCGCTGAGGGCGGCCGAGCTGCAGATTGCGCCTCCGCCTGCGGCGCAGGTCAGCGCGGCGATGAGGGGGAGCAGGATGGCTGGGGGGACGTGCTCGGTGGCGCTGGGCTGCAGCTTGAGTTGCGTGTAGGGGATGGCGATGATGGCGAGGGTGGAGAGGAAGACGTCGATCCACCAGAGCGCGTAGACGCCGACTGCGACGCCGTGGCTGGCTCCGTACTGCAGCGAGGCCATCTGGATGATGGTTGTGTATGTGATGGCGATGCTGGCCAGGCACGAGGTCTCGATGAGGTCATGTCGCAGCTCGTAGGCGACGTATTTGGGGTAGCGGGTGAGTCGCAGGAGGTACAGCAAGAGAGCGATGCCGAGGAGAGCTATGGTGTAGATCCAGACAATCTTGGCGATGATACGCAGTCCATCAAACTGGTAGTCGAGTTGGTGAAGGATGACCGAGATGATGCCGGTCCCTTGGGGGATGAGGAACCATTGAGGGGAGAAATTGTGCAGCGCGCGGGCTGGAGGATAAGCTGGAGCATCCGGCATGAGGAGGATAGTCAGAATGGTTGACCGTTTATCGAGCATGTTACCAGTCGATGTCTGTAGCATTCATTTATAGGAGACAAAAGTCAGGGACGAGGATGTCGCCATGACATCACCCAGTGTGGGGAAATAACAATCATTCATCAAAGCAATGGAGATTCCTTGCTGGAGACACACCAAAAAGCTTATTCTGATTTCTGACACATTCTGACGATGGCAAAGAAAGATGATTCAATTGGCGTAAAGCATTGGACATGGACTTGGGCTACCCTCCACTAGCAAACGGTTCCGTCCAGACAGGAAGCACAAACACACGATCTTATATTCAAAGCACCAATAGAGCTGTCCCTGTTTTCTGTGCGAGAAGGATCAATAGCTAGTGTACCTGAAATGCAGGAGTTGAAGTTATTTACCATGCCACCTTCTCTCTTCGGATCAGCCCCGTTCTAAGGCAGATCTCTATATTGAGACAGGACTGAGCAGGACAGACAAAAGAAGAGCGTCAGCCATGACAATCTTTGGGATATACTCGAGTCTTTTGATCCAGCAGGAAGTATACGGTTAGATCTATAGTCTTTTGCATGTTTAATCATCTTCCAAGTAGATTGAAGCTGTATCTCTAGCCTAGCAGTAATGTCCTTGTTTCTATGCCAAGGAAGTAAGCCCAGCACCTATACCCATCTACAAGGCACCGTTTCTCCTATCGATTCGTTTGCACTTTGGCAAGCTCAGGAAGAGCCCATTTCTGCATCCATTCACATTCCATAACCTCGGCCGCAGTTGGCCTCTTCTCGGGCAGAAATGCAAGCATAGCCCTCAACATGGCGAACAAGGCGACTTTCTCCACCTCTCCCACCTCTGTCATCTTGAACTCTTGCCTTGGCTCCTGCACTGAATCGTTGAATCGTTGCTCCCAGTGCCTTGGATTTGCACCGCTGTGTCTGGTCCCATCCTCGTTGAACCATCTCATACGGGAATCCCATTTCAACCACCACTGCAGAGGCAGCTTGCCCAGGGCATCAACATGTTCTCTAATCACCCAGTCGGCGGAGGGATTAAACCCCTCAAACAGCGGCCGCTGGCCTATAATCTCCCAGATAGTACACGCAAGCGTCCATATATCAGCAGGAAACAAAAGCGATTCTTGAGGTTCAAAGTGAACCTCCGGAGGCACCAAAAGGTCCGGAGTATTAGAGTAATGCCGCATTGTAGTAGCCGGCATAAAGGACCCTCCATAGTCAGTGACGATTATTTGAGCTTCTGACAGAGAAATACACTCGCTCGCTTTCCCTAGCCAGATCGGCACAACAACATGGCGGGGACACCACCAGGGAGTGGGCGCTGATCTAGACGTACAACGGGCTCGGTGTGAGGGCGTCCACATTCTTCATACAATTGCTCTGGTGAGAGCGCGTCCATGCTCTCGGGAAGACGGACCAAGACGTTACCAGCATGAAGATCTGGCGAAGTCTTAGCGTATCTGAAAAAGCAGAGATTGAGGAACCAGATTCAGTTACTTACCCGCATGGACAATACCTTGCGAGTGCAGAAACGCCACCGCTTGGACGAGTTGGGCAGCGATGGCTCTGGCTACAGGCAGCTGGAAGAGCCGAACAGATGAGGCATCTTTGGCTTCGGCTAGGCTCATCATTCCAGGTGCTGTGACGAAACACCGATGGACTCCATTGGGTCCGGAAATGGAGAACTCATCCAATATGCGAGGGATGTTTGCGGCCCCTGCGACGCCTAGTCGACGGAGGATGTTGCTTTCTTGCGAGTCCACTGGATCACCTGCTGCGACGGTGATCTTGATGGCAACATATTTCTCGGCTTCCTGGTCTCTTGCCAACCATACGGTTGAGTATGCGCCGAAGCCAAGCTTATGTATGATGCGGTATTGGTCATTCAGCCACGCTCCGATGGATATTGGATGGTACCCTCCCGGACGGTATCGCTCGAGTTTCTCCACCTCGTCGATGGGTATATACTCAACATGAGGAAGGGTGTCGGTGATGCCACCGGGGACTATGGACTCCATTTTACCACATGTAGCAGTGAAGGATCTGGAACGTGGGAATGTCCAAGACGCGGTGCGGGTAGGGACGAAACACGAGGAGCTGATCACCAACAAACTCGAAAGGTTCGAGCACAACGATATACTTTTCCTCATGACACAGATCAGTGTCAACTCGAATGATGGCTTGGGGAGTTGCCGGACTCCTTGATAATGCACAGCGACCTTTGACTATTGTTGTGAATCTTTGGCGTCTGTTCCTTGGCAAAGTGGGGGAGGGCCCGGTTATACCCCCGGAAGAGACATATGGGAGTTAGCAAAGTCTACCCACGCTGGTGTAAAGTTGGATCCGATATTGAAGAGAAATGGAAAGCCTGTGTGGCCGACAGATGATCAGGTTGCTAGGACCTTGGCCATGGAATGTAGGGAGACACATAATGAATACTGTGTACATACGGATTCAAACAATCTGCAAGTGTGGCAAGGTGCTAGCTAAGAGTGTTGTCTTCCTCTTTCTCTTAGTTTTGGTTGGATTGAGAAACCTCCAGGACAAAGGAGGCTATTCAGGATCTACTTTTCTTGGCTTTCCATTCTGCGACACCTAGTAGAGGTTTCGTACTTGCTCTGGTTCGGTACCACTCATCTCAAGATTGTGACAGGGTCTTCTACTTGTATGTGCCGAGCCGATGCTCGGCTCGGCTTAAAGATCGATCTCCTCTCGCCTAGCTAATGACTCTGCATTCATGTGGGTTATTCGCTGTCAAAATATCCATTCAAAGAATATGAGCCACAGTCATGATCCAAGAATAACTCGCACTAGCAGCCATAGGCCCACAGGCCCACAGGCCCTACTACTCCATACGTAGTCAAGTTTCAATGCTCCCCCACAAACACGGAATCATCAGTACCTCTCCCTTCATTCTGCTCTATCGTATATGTAGTCTTCAGATCAATTATATTCAAACTCAACAGAAATGAGCAAGTACCAAGCAAATTTGGACGTTTTGGAAGACGATGAGGTTTATGCTCTCCTATTGAAGGGCGCGTTTGATCTGCCTCCTCAACAAGTCCAGGATGAGTTGCTCGGTGCCTTTTTCACCTGGATCGCCCCGTTGCTACCTGTCATAGATCAGAATGCATTTTGGTCTCGGTATAGTGATCCAGGCCACCCGCCATCGCTGCTTCTGTTGCAGTGCATCTTCCTCGCCGGCTCAAGGGCAGTACCGAAGAGGTCGACAGCCATAGACTCGAAGCAAATTTTCAGACGGGCCAAGGCTCTTTACGATGCTGGCTTCGAGAGGGATAAACTAACGATCGTTCAGTCATTGGTCTTGATGAGCTGGTACTGGGACGGGATAGAAGGTAATATGCCGTCGCCGCCTGGAGGTGCACTTGCTAAACTCCTCAAGACCTGACCGAGAATGGACTCTTCTACTGGACTAGACTGGCAATTGCAGTAGCACAAGATCTCAAGATGGATATCAGGTTGGTAGAGATCTTTCTCGTTTTGAAGTCCTTGATATTGCTCTGATCCGCGACTTTATCTGATCCTCAACCTTAGCGACGAGCTTTGTCTATCACAACCGGAGAAACGACTCTGGCGACGAATATGGTGAACTCTATTTACCCGGGACCGCGCGATGGCCGGTGCCTACGGCAGACCCGTCAGTATACAGCTGGAATTCACCAACGTACAGTCCCTCACGGCAGATGATTTCGTCGATGACCAGTCAAATGCGGATACCTTTGGAGTGTCGTTCTTTCTCCAATACGTCCGGTTATGCGAGATGATGGACCTGGTTATTCGCAGGAGGAATGATTCTTGCTTGCTCAGTGCCGCTGAATTCGCACAATGGGAGTATGATCTCTGTCTCTGGATGCTGGCCTGCCCCGAGGAGATGCAATGGTCCCCATTGTGCCATCAGTTCTGGCCGGGCATCTTACAGTCAGTGTACTAGTAAGTACTCGGCCCTTCTGGCTATAAACGGACCTGCTGCTAGGGACTGTCTTGACTTGGGTTGCATTTCATAGTACTATGGTGTGCCAGCTTCATGCTTTGGTTCCCACAAGAGCTCGGCCCACGGCTTCAGCCGCCGTGGCTCTAGAGGCTGCCTCGACGATTCTGTTCATTTTGGAAACTATAGCAGCTCATGGCCAGGTCAACCATGTTCCCCCGTCCGTGTAAGTGACAGAATGCATTTGCGCTTAGCATTCACTTTGTTTCAAACCACGCATGACGGTATTTGAGTCAATCAACGCTATCAACGAAAAGGTGTAAAGAGCTGTTGCCTTGTACCAATCGCTTTTTCACTGCAAAAGACTCTTCTGACCTCGGATGGCAGGATCTGCAGTGTTCTAACCGTCCTGGCCGCGGCCAAAAGCCAGCGTATTTCCGCCAGTCCCACCCTTGTGTTGCAGTGGAAACGGAATATTGAAAGGTGCCTACAATTCCTCGAGCAAGTTTCAGAGACTTGGCCGATAGCACGGCCCATCAAAGAAGGGGCGGAGCTCATCTATCTGTCGACCAAGTGGTTTGAGTCCTCGCTGGAAGAGGCGCTCGCGAGATGCAAGAACCCATCAGAGACCCAGGCCGCCAATGCGCCTCAACGATGGGAACGTCACTTCCCGAAGCGCAGACGACTAAATCTCGATCTTCTCTTGCCGCAGAGTCGGTTGATCGTCAAGCCATCGACCGAGTCGAGCCAACTGGGCGCTGGAGCCAGAAGGCAATCCGAAGGGAGCGGAGTGAGAAGAGAAGAGCATTCGCTTGACAAGACGAGCGAAACCGATCACTCCTTGAATGCGGCTCAGAATCCTCGTACGCTTGAAGACTTGATTACATCCTTGGACCCGTTGGATATGCTAGGTTCATTACATTTCCTTGGTCAATCGTAGCGGGATTACGGCTCTCCGGTTCTCTACCGCAAATGCAAACCACGAGGTACGCGGGAATGTATTTGAAGATGCATCACATGTTATGAATACATCTACATACGAGGCAGCGTAAAGAAGTTTTGAGATCCAGAACTGACATTCAGGACTGATTAGATCGGGGACTGTTTCCTCTAAGCATTTGACTAAGTCACCAGAATAACCTGTCCGAGACCGGTAGAAGCTTGGAATGATCCCAGTTGTGCAATTCAGAGACGATGTCTTTTCTGGCCAGTAGCGATTTTCATGAACTCCCTGGGGAATGCCTTGCATAAACTTCTTCAACCCGGAAAACAATTCCTGGACAGCCTGAGAATGGAATTCACGGTCCCCAGGCTCACGGAGTATCCTCTTGATATCCAGCATGCTCGAATCGATCAGGGGTCTTCCAAAGCGGCTCTCGACTTCCTTCAGTACCAGCTGCCTGAACCTCGCGTCGTCGCCCTGACCATCCAAGATCCTACTCACGAATCTGGTCTGCAGGAGTTCTTCCACCGACATTTTCCGGCCCCCCAGCAAGGCCTCTTTAGCCTTGCTGATCCCTAGACGGGGAATGAACGTGAAGCTCGATCCGCCCTCGGTGACCAGACCTAGCTATGCGAATGGGGTGAGCAGATAGGCACTAAGACTCGCGATGATGAAGTCCGAATGCGCAATCATCGCCGCAGAGAGGCCGATGACGGGCCCGTTCAGCGCGGTCACTAGGATCTTCGGGTGCGAATAGAATGCCTCTGCCAGGTCGATGTTGTTGAGGACCAATGCGCGCATCCAGTACTGGCGAGGATCCATGCCGTGAAGGTCCGGAGGGGGTCGGGTTACGTCCGCGCCGCTGTTACGGGGACGATTGAAGGAGTGTTAGACTGATATCTGAGCTTCCAATGGGTGGAGGAATGCTTACGCAGAGAAGAACCGGCCTTTGCCGATCAGGATGGTGATCACTACCTCTTCGTGTCCGGCAATCTCGCGGAGCACCGTCGCCAGCCTGTAATAATCGTCTTGGTTCAAGGCATTGAGCTTGTCGGGGTTGTCAAGCGTGACAATCGCAATTCGGTCGATATACTCGACGCTGACTACTTGTCGTGAAGGGGCCATTTTGATGGACGTCAGGCGTGATTGACTTGCTTGGGTTGAGATTGCACTGCCGTACGGTGAAATGCAAGTCTTTTATGTATCTGATATCTGTGGCAATGGTGACATGTGTTCATCCAGTCGATAGCCATTCAGCTGTACTTCGTGGCCGAGCCGAGCATCGGCTCGGCGAATACAAGTGGAAGACCCTGTCACAACCTGGAGATGAGTGGTACCGAACGTTCGTCCTTTTGAAGTCGGTGGAAAAAGGAAAATAAACTTCCTTAAGCTTGCTGAACCGGATGAAGTGAAGGACTGAACCTATCTGGAACACAATTGTCTCGTTCTTGCCAGGCCGGGGCCGCAAACGTACCTCTCATGTTGGATGAGTTCTCCATTTCCGGACTCAATGGAATACATTGGTGTCTCGTCACAGCAAATGGCGCAAATGGAGGGACTCGGACAAGGATCTAAGCTGCTCAGAAATGATCGAAAGGTTGAGTGTCCAGATAGTCTGGGAAGCTTTCTATCTGTAAGAAGCCTGAAACAGCTGCATTACGGCCTGGCAAGCCATCGGAGACACCAGCTAAAACGTTCAACTATGGGCAAATAGCAAGCCCTTGCACGGGTAAAAAAGTGCCTTATTATACAGGGGTTATATGCAGAAAGAATCATAGAGTTGAGGCAATATTTACTTCCGTTCCTCATTCCAGTTCCCACCTCTCAGTACTTCCATTTGGCACGTGCCCGGGGAGCTCCTGGGGGGCACGAGGTGTCTGATCAATCACCTTCGGGGCGAAGAGCTCTGCAGGCGCCTCCGCAGTCTCAGGTGACAGTTTCGTCTGTCTTCTTCTTCTTCTAATGATTGCAAAGAGTATAGCAGCAGCGACCAAGGCTGCACCAGCCACTCCCCCCACTACAATGCCCGCAATCGCCCCAGAGGATAGCCCGGTGCTTGCACCCTCGGTCTTCTGAGACTGTCCAGTGTTGCTGTCAGGCGCGGCCGACTTGGTGGCATCCGGGTTGCTGGTGGATTGGGTGGAAGTGATGAGATTGGTCACTCCTGGCGCGCAAAAGGAATCATAGACGCGATTGTCCGTATTGACGGCGACAAGATCTTCCTCGGTTGTGGGCTTGGCTGCCCACAGGGTGAACTGGCCCGCGTCCTGATTGACCATTACGTAGGCACTACTGAGAAATTGGCGGCCTAGCTGGGGCAAATCGTCGGCGTTTACTTGTTGCATGGAGTTGAGTACAAGCTCGGGAGCGGACGCGTTGGCCAAAATTGCTCCGGAAGTTTCGTCGATGGTGAGCTCGGGAATGACGAGCTGATTGTTCGCAATGCGCGCTGTCAAGCCTGAGCTAAGGGTGATGGATAGATCGCCAGAGTATCTGCAATTTCTGGTGAGCATATTCTCCTCATCCGCATTCGAATTCATAGTGGGGCGAACTCACGGGCTTTCACCCGAAGGATACAGCATCCCATAGTAATTGATGCCGAATGAGCGGCCGAAGGAGAAAATGTTGTCCCCCGTCACGCTCGAGAATCGTTTGAAATATGGCTCATAAGGGATGGTCATCAGGACGGGGTAATCCGGAACAATGCAGGCCGACATGGCGGTCGATTGGGTCCCGTCATAAAGACTTGTGGTCGTACCATTGCTCCAGTTCAGTGAAATATCGGTGATGGTTACGAGCATACCAGTGCTGCACGCCGGGTTAGAATAGACTAAGCCCTGGGTGAAGTTGGCCCCAGAGACCTTGGCGCGGTCGTAGCCACCAAACACAAAGTTGCCGTCCATCTGTGCGTCTGCTGTCGCCCCTTGACGGCCCCAAAACATGGCCCAGGATCTTGAGGCGATCTTGCCCGTACTGACGAGTGCATTCAACAAGGTGGAATTGCGGCCCAGTCCTATAGCCGCCTGCGGATGGTATCCTTGCTCTCCCCAGTCTGACTTTGGCATTCCAATGGGAAATTTGGTCACATTGATGCTGGATGTGAGGGTTAGGGTATCACTGAACATTTCTAGAGAGGGATATGGCGAACTGTCTGTCGGATAAGAGTCTGTAGAAGTCGCTCCCACAGAAGTTGACTTTGATTTATCGAACAATCCTCCGCGGAAGGTCATGCAGCCTGCTTCAGCCCAGTTGGTCCCGCAGTCCCAGTCTGTGGGATAGACGAATGTGTTGTTCAGTGACCTGGAACGTGTTAGATATAGACATTGTACTTTCACGAGTGCCATTCTGTTAAGGAGGGGATTACCACTGCGGAAGGAAGGCAAACGGCTGAGCAGGTGTCCCTACAGAGATCTCGAGCCCGCGTGCGACTTGGTTGTTGGTGAGAGACACATTGCCAACCCCCACACTGAACGGGGATGGGACGCAATCAGCGCCAGAGGAGGAGACCATTAGAAGCAGGAAGAGAAGAAACGAGAGCAAACGGAAGCTCACAGGAGCAGCAGAAAACGATATTCGATCATCCGGCATCTCAATCATCCTCAGATTGGTTTTGAATAGTTACACATAACACAGGTAGACATGGAGCATAAGAAAGGAAGAATTTGAGTTCTGCCACGAGGCTGTCTTACTGTTTCTAGGGTCCGAGCCAACGTCGCCCAATTTCCTTTTGTTCGAGGAAGATGGCCAGGAAAGCGCCTAAGAACCAATATGGCCGGGGTATATTGTGCTATTACACTTCTAGCCAATCCACTCGGCCAGTGTTTGATTAAGGAGTACGCCGTACTTTGTGTCTATTAATAATAATACTCTGCCCAACGACTTACCTTTTCCAGTTTTACCGCCAGGACGCGAGTTGACTGCGCCGCCATGTGCATAGTCTATGATTGGCCCAAGCTGCCATGAGTTTTGATCGCCGGCGCCATGGTGCTTGTGCTTGTACTTTTCAGGTTACAGTTTGCACTGGCGGCCCGCAATAACAATAGCGAATGGGCTATTAGGTCTGGCTTGCTCCATACCTAGGCCACAGACCATAGCCTACCTAAGATAATATCTCAGTTGTATGCTCTTGAGTCACTTCTTACCATGTCTGTGCCATCAGCACTACAAAGCTCAGGGAACCCTGTCTGTTGCATAATTATTAAAGATGCCACTCGCATAGACAGGGTCAGATTACTCTTTATTAAGCCCTTTACAGAGTAGACCTAGTGAGGATACGGGATTATAGCACTCATATTGAGATCTAGATCCCCGCTACTTGTAGTTAAGATTCGATACTCAATATCTACGGAGTGTACTCCGTACTACAGTATTAATAAGCTTATTAGCCCAGCTTGCCGGGAATCTGGATACACTTTATGGGTGCCTGCCTACCTATACCTTATTTCCTCTTCCACCTCCATATCGATTTCTCTCAGAGACCGTAAAATCATGATTCAGTCTCCCTTCTTGCCCTTGGTTCATATATCTCAATGGTTCAAATCAGCCCCCACGAGCTCTATATCACACCTTGGCGCTGAGCAAAGCCCCACATGCCCGGCGCATAATCGCTCCCCGTGATTCGCCTTGAATGACCAGGATATATGCTGCTAGTCCGTTGCTACTGATTAATTAGCAGATTTAGCAGCGGCCACGAAAGCCGGAACTAATCCAATCATGAACCTTTCTGAGTTGGCTGTGTTGGCGTCAGGGACTCAGGGACTTGCTGATTGCCCATCTATCTCCATATCAAGGCTAGCTACGCCACAGAAAAATTGACGGACCTCTGCATGCTCCCTTTTTTTGATTATTATCGACAGGCTCCACTGTCCAAAGACTCCAGAGTCCAACAGCAATTCAGCCCCTCCTCTCTCTCTCCATCTCTTCTTGGCGCACTAGGCAGAATGGTTGTTCGAAATCGAGTCAGCCGCTACTTTCAGCTTCCTCTCATGATGACCTCCTATTCAGTGTCCACCTGTTCTTTTGGCTGATGATTCCGTCTGAACTTATTGCCGCCAGAGTCTCATGTCCTGGTTAAGCCTCACATCCCAACGTCGGGTCCTACGGCTCTGTGCCACTGTAATTGCTGTGCTTTTTGTTCTTTTCCTCTTGCATGTCAAATTCGCTACAAGGACGCCCTTTCAATATTCTCCGCTGCCAGCTTCCACACCGGGCCCTCCTCGAAATGATTCCGATCCGGAGGGCCTTCTCCCAAGCGCAGGACAGGCGCCTGCTCTGCCCGCTGAGTATTCGGCGCTGGCCGACCAGCCATCTTACTGCGCAGATCGATTCGGTATCACATATCTGGAGAAGCTGCGCGACTCGAAAACCGAGTACTGCACTCCAGAATCGCCCTCGGGCTTGACTTGCTTCCATAGCCAAACAGCGTCGGACTACCGAATCGACACGTTCTGCTTCGGGCACGGAGCCGTGTATGATCCTGCTCAGCAGAAATATATCATGAGCTGTCAATTGCGAGGTGTAGACGGCGAAGGAGCACCCCCCTTTGGAAAATTTCACAATTATTGGTACGGGACAGGCCCTGGCGTTGTGTTCCAAAAGGCCGTCTCCCTCCAGGGCACGCTTGACCATACCGTTCCTCCCGTGGTCTCGAACCACACAATCCTCATTCAGCGAGAAGGGGCGTGGAATGTCTGGCATTCTCTCATGGAGATCTTTTCCATGACCATGACCATAGATGTTCTCCGCATGACTGCGGGCCTCAGCCCACACAGACCGTTCTTCAGTACCGTCGACATCGCAAACACACAGGTGGTCATCCTGGATGAGATCGAGGATGGGCCCTACTTTGACCTGTGGAAGATTTTTGCTCAGCGGCCACCCCTCCGAGTCAGCGATCTGCCTCCAACCACCGAGTTCGAGAACCTGATCGTTCCCCTGGCGGGCGGGTCGAACCCCCTCTGGCAGGGTGATTGGGAGATCCATTCATGCGAAGACTCGGCGTTGGTCCGGACATTTTCCCGACGGGTCCTCTCACACTTCCATGTGGAACTTCGCAGGCCCCGGCAGGGCCCCCAGATCGTGTTGACCTTTATCGACCGAAGGGAAAGCCGAAAGCTGATCAATCAGGAGGAGTACTTCGAAACCGTCAAAGCGCAGTTTCCCCATGTCACGGTTCAGCTGATTGACTTTGCCCGCATCCCGTTCCATGAGCAGCTGAGGATTGTCCAGGGGTCTGATATCCTGGTGGGCGTGCACGGGGCCGGTCTCACGCACGGTATCTTCCTCCCATCCGGCTCTGCGATGGTCGAGATTCTCCCGCCGGGTTTGAACCACAAGGGCTTCCGGAATGTTGCTTCGCTACTGGGACATTTGTATTTCAGTGCACACGCATCGAAGCCGGCTATGTCTTTGACGGCACGCGACGATTGGCATGCCGATGATGTTTACCTCGGACGTGACAAGTTCATGGATATAATGAATGTTGCCATCAAGGCTTTGTATAACAGAGGAGAGCGGAACTACGATGTGGACTAATTCAAGTGGTCCTGGTGCCCAAGATATGTTTATGACGAAACTTGTATATAATGATGCGATTGATCCTGCATTTGGATAAATAAAACAAATCATCTATCGGGCTGGCGCTGCGTTGACTAGCTACTGTTGTCACGATAATGAGCGTAGTTTGAGTCAGGGGGATTGCTGCTCGAGTGGGACGTTTGCGTTGGCGTCGCCGGGGGTGCTGGGGGGGAGTTCGCCGACCTCTACTTCTGGGAGTTCGAGTTCGAGTTCTAGTTCGAGTTCGACAGTGGCTGTGGCGACGTGGTCGTCAGCTACGTCTTCGGCCACGGCGACAACAGCTGCGGAGCACCCGCGGTCGCGCCTGTCCCCGGGCGCGAGGGCGGGTCTTGGGGTTGGCGCGGCGGGAGCGGGGATCATCATTGTCGTGCTCGTCGTACTGCTACTCAGGGCGCGGAGACTTGCAGGCAAAGCCAGGAACCAAAGCCAAAGGGAAAAGAATAGATTCGCCTCGATGACTGGAGCCAGACGAGCGGAACTCGAGGCGTTGGCGCCACCGAGCGAACTGTCTGCGAGGCCGGCACGAAGCCGCTTCGAACTGGGTTCTTGATATGTACATAACATTGATTAGGACCGTATGGGTCGGGGGTGAAAGATCTACACGGCAAGTATCTACAAGAATCAGAGGGGGGCATTAAGGCTAAGGCTATGGGCGGAAGACGGTCGACAGCGAAGGCGAGATCGACTGCTTCTTCACGCTCGGCGGGTTGGACTCGGGGCCTGGCTTTGGAGTCCCCGGTCGGGAGTGTTGCCGGTAGAACCGGAGGGATGTTGAGTCTGTGGGAGAGGCGCCCGTCGCGCTGCTCGGGGTCCGCTCCGAGGCGGTGCTGCTGGACGCATACTGGCGGCGTTCCTTGATCGGCCAGGTGGAGAGACAGGCGCGCGGGATGAGGCCTTGCGTTTCGGTTTCGGTCAGGGTGCACAGTGCCTGAGGAGTCGGAGTCAGTACTCGTGGTCTTTCGTTTTAGAATCATGGGGGAACGGGATTGGAGGAACTTACCCATCCATCATCGAAGATCTGCTCGAGGAGAACCATCTGGCCGTCGCTGACGTGCAGATGGCCGTCGCTGCGGGGTGCAAAGTCCATTTCGACCCGGTACACCTGCTTTGTCCACAGTTTCACCGACGGCACCTCCAGCTGCGTGTGCGACGGGGCTCGCCCAGACTCCGCGGGGCTTGCCTCCCTCGCGAACTCGGGCGGCGGCGGTGACTGCCGCTGGCGCGGCGTTTGGGATGGAGCTGTGGTGGACTGCGACGGCGAGGGGCTTGATTCCCGGGCAGCCTCCTGGTGGGGGTGCTCTCCTTCGCCCGAGATACGTCCCGCCAGCGCGTCGACGCTGATCTCCGCGGGGTTGCTCATGGCGACAGTGCCAGAGGAGACACTCCGCACCTTGACGAGGTCCAGACTATCGCTGATGTTGCATGGAGGAGGCTGAAACTGGTGCGCATCGTAGTCTCCCGAGTACGGGTTGCGACTGCTCATGGTGCTCCACATCGAGGACGCGTTGTCTTTTGGCTGCGGCTGAGCCTGCGCCTTGAACCTCGCCGTCACGGTTCGGACCGTCGAGGACCCATTAGCGCACAGATCGGTGACAATCTTTTGCAGACGCGTCGGCTGCGGTGGGGGCACGTGCTGGAACTCCTGCGCAAAGGCATAGCCGTGCGAACAGCGGCTCCGCCTGTCGGGGGTCGGTTTTTTGCCTCGTAATGACCTGGCCTTGTCCGCGATGAGGTGCACCGTCGAGGAACTGGCCAGGCGCGCGCGACTCGCCGCGGTGTGCGCGCGATGCTTCCAGAGCTGGGCCCGGTACGAGGTGAACAGATTGCTTTGTGTCTGGTTGGTCGAGTATATGCTGCTGCTTCCGTCGTTGATGGACGGTACTTTGTCCCGGTTGGACGCCTTGAACATCTCCGCTACGTTGACCAGCGTCGATGTGCTGCTTGTGTAGAGATTTGACGCGAATCGGTACACCGGATTCGGCTTCTCCGGCGGGGGAGGGAGCTTCTCCCCTCGGATGGACATCTGCAGAGCCCGCTTCTTGCGATGCAGCCGCCAGAAGATCACCCCGATCAGGATGGCTGCGAGGCTCAGAACCGAGATGACAACGCCGGCTTGGGCGCCGCGAGTCAACGTGCCCGCGTGAGTGGCCGCGGAGGCTGGGGTGGAGGTGGGATGGGAGACGCGGGTGGTAGACGGAGCCTGCGTGGTGGTCGGTATTGAGGTGGTATGCAGGGTGGTGCTGATCATCGAGGTGAAAGAGCTGGTCGAGGATGTGGTTGATGAAGACGCGGTCGTCGAGGTGGACATACTGGCAACAATTCGAAGCGGCTCGTCGAAATGCCCTTTTCGCAGATCCAGCGGCGGATCCGCAGGAAGAACGGCGGGTTTTACAGCCGCCGGTTCCATGTCCACCGTGGTGTCTGTTGTTGGTCCACGAAGCATTCCAGGTTCGGTCCATCCCTGCGCGGCAAGCAGGTTTGGGGTTGCGTCTGCGGTTGCGATTGGCTTCGTCTCTGCATTACTGAGTTCACTGAGAGGATCTGCAACGACTACCGGTCGAGCATTACCAAGATGGTACATGCCATCATCGTATGATCGCCCTGGAGCGTCTTGTAATGAAGCTTTCGAGCCCTGAGCTCCTCCTACAGGGAAACCGGCAGTGACAGATGTCATGCTGATGGCGACGGGTGCAAGAATGTTGGGGAAAAAGGCCGGCGGCGGAGAAGCCAGCTCGGTCTGACAGGGACTATTATACTATTGAATGTATCTGTTTATGTATCTTGATGCTGAGATTATGGCCTATCAGAGAACCTGTTGATGTTGTTGATGCTCAGGCCAGCGCCGAGCTGGTACTCTTGGCGCCAAAGAATGTTGTCGACAGCTGGCATATCCTGCTTTTCATGAACTCAGAGACGTATGCTCCTGCTACCGAAAGCAAGATTTACACCGATGATCGAATCAAAGTGATGTACAGGAACAGGTTGCATCCAAGATCGATCTGTGGAATCCGAACTGCCAGTGTAGTAGTAGTAGTAGTCGAGCCAGTGGATAACCAATCAACATAGCGACTGACTCGTAGACAGCAGAAGGTATGTAGATCACGTCTGCGGGTGTCTTTCTATTTCATGTCTCTGAAGGGAGCCGCCTGCCATTCTGTAAGGGTTGAGTTCAATGCGACGCTTGTGATTTGTTATTGCGGCTTGTACTCGGGAGTATTCATCCTAGCCCTGTCTGGATAACATCATGTTGGAATCTTGAAGCATATTGCGGTGGAGCTCTCTCACCAGCAGTGGGTTCTGACCTTCGATAAGGTTCATGAGATTCCTGCGAGGATAGAGATTTGTAGATGTTTGGGCAGAAGCAGGAACCAGATTATAATGTTGAGAGTGTTCAGTGTGCCATTGGATGGGTTTTTCCCCCTGGCATTCCAGTAGGATTCGCCCTTGATTCAATCAAACTCAAGCAATTAGTGCATAAGTAAGCATTGGCGCCATGTGTAACTGTGATGGTAAATATAGAATGAAATTAGTAGTCCTGAATTCACCAGTGTATGTTGCACTATTTGCAGGCATAAACTGCAAATTGAATCTCCAATGCCACTTCTCTAGCCAAGACTGCCTTATCATATCACAAGTCAAAGGTTGAGGGTTGGCGGCAGATTGACTTGGATGATTGGTCTCAGCATAGAATAATTCTTTGACTTCTGCAGATGATATTTCTGGGACATCTAGTGTTGTTTAGTGTTGGTATAGAAGAAGCATGATTATCTGGCTTGTTCGCTCTTATAGTCATGTTGAATTGCTGGTCCAGTTATTGCAGCTTGCTAAAGCCATCTTGATAGACTAATGGTCAAAATAGGTTGTTCTGACCAATGATATGGATGATCTATCTGTCAGTCTATCTCCAGCACAAATATATATATCCACACCTCGACCTCAATAGACACCTTTAGCAGCCATTATTATGAAGACAATTCAACCATCATGTGATCAAAAATCAACTACGTATTCTCTATTTGATATAGGGCCCTAGGCTAGGTTAGATTAAGACTCCTTTGTCTGCGCGTCTTGATGCTAGGAAGCCTTTGATTCTCCTTAGATAGCTGGCATGATGCCAGAGTTAGAAGACTGATGCGGTATCTTCCTTTGACCCTTATTCCTTTATACTAGTAAATTATCCTGACTTGTAGAAGCAATTCAAAACAGGAGATTCGTGAAATACTGCCTCGAAGCACCAACCTAGTATCACTATGCCTATTGTTACTGCTGATGGTGAATGGTAACCTCGGCTAGAGGAAAAGAGCTTCCGCAGAACCAAACAGGTAATAAGCTGCCTAGCTGCCTCAGGCACCACAACTCCGATAACGTCCGATTGCAGGTCAGCAATTAATAATGATTAGCCGTTGAAATAGTGTACACAATCCACGACTTGTTGAACTGGATATCAATCTACTGATGTACCGAGTACTCTTTCTTGACTCTTGAGGTTGAAGGAAACAAGCGTTGAGGGAAGCATCGGAGGAAATCGGCAGAGTCGGTAGCTTAAGGGAGATGAGGAATCCATCCCTGTGTGCGCATGCCTCAAGCACTGGCAGGGAACAGACGGCTCAACAGGGTTACGTAACCCTGCATATGCAATCACCAGGTCATGATGATCCTGATCACCGCTGGAAACTGAGGCTGAGAAGTGAGGCAGGACCTTGGCAGCCTTTCAACACCACGAAGCATCAATTGATCAGATGTTCAAATACTCTGTAGATAGATATTATTTGAAAGGCAAGAGATTGATATTGATATCAACTTCCTAGCAAAGAACACGTAGACTCTTAGTAGTATGGAGTACTGCTGTGGTGGTGACCTCAGGGTGATCTATCTCGCCGAAATTTCAGGCTAAAACAACGGAGCGATTCTAGCCTGCTTGGGACGGACCAAAAACAGGGCGAATTCCTCTGGTGCATCCGGGGATATATAACGGGTGCAGCTCCCTCGGACGAGTCGCATTCGACCTCTCGATTCCGGTCACTGACAGAAACCTTTCTCACGAGTCACGACAGGAGCTGGCGCTGGAGCTGGAGCTGAGGAGGAGGACTCCCTTTCACAGCTCAGGTCCACGACGGAAACAAACTCCCCAAAAACCCAGTCGGTGAGACATTTGCCAGTTTCCCTCGGAAGAAGAGGCTATTTTCCCTCCAGCCGAAGCCAGTGGCTCACCCAGCTCCATTCCTGCGCGACCGGCTCTTCCTGTTCTGGTCATTTCTGGCGCTCAACCTCCGGTTCTGGTGGAGCCGCAGCCCGAATCGGCCCGGTTTAATTGACTCCGACACGGCGTCCTGCATTTTCGCTAGTTCTGATTGGCCGACTGCTCTGGGTCGAGTGGGCCGTACCGTATCATCGGACCCATAATTTGGCCCACTGCAAGAAAAAAAAAAAAAAAGAGGAGCAAAAAAGAGCAAAAAAGCCTTTCACATTCCCCTTCAGCTCTCCTTTTTCTGCCTGTCTTTAGTCAATGGTTTTGATTTTCTGTCAATTGACTCTAAACAAGTGTGTAGTTAGATAGCAGCAGCAAATCTGAATCAATGATGACCGTAGAAGATCAAGTGGATGGCTACGTTAGACTTTGGTGGACTCTACGGAGCTGCGCGGCCTGCAAGGACCCTGAATAATTGGCTGTACCAGGACCAATCCCACCTTGGCCGTGACCCGGACGAACCCGATAAGTCATCCGTTGTCTGGTCGATGAGAGAGACTGAGACGCAGGAGAGAGAGAGAGAGAGAGAGAGAGGAAGTCCTAAGAGCCTAGGGCTCCAATCACACACTAACAGCGACTGGTGAAAATTCGGCATGGAAGTATTTATGTCCTAGATGGGTCTCTGGGCATCCTGCCCTCCCGCCTTTTCCTCCCCCCAAAAACCTCTGCCAAATCTCCTTTTCCTTTCTTTCCTCTTTTTTCCCTTTTCCTTTCCCCCTTCTACACACACTCCATCTTGCCTTCTTTGAGACTACCTCATCTCAAACCCACCACAAAACCATCAAACCATCACAATGGCCTCCTCTCGTGTCTTTGCCTCTCGCCTGGCCTCCCAGATGGCCGCAACCACCAAGGTTGCTCGCCCTGCCGCTCGTCTCCAGCTGGCTCCCAAGCGTACCTTCACCACCCAGAGAAAGACCGCCGTCCCCATGACCCCCTTCCAGACCATCAAGCGTCAGCAGCCTAGCCTCATCCAGGCCAACGCTCGCCAGGTCTTCGCCAACGTCCAGTCCCGCCGCCAGTACTCCTCTGAAATCGCCGACGCCATGGTCCAGGTCTCCCAGAACATGGGTATGGGCTCTGCCGCCATCGGTCTCGGTGGTGCCGGTATCGGTATCGGTCTCGTCTTCGGTGCCCTCCTCCTCGGTGTCTCCCGCAACCCTGCTCTGCGTGGCCAGCTCTTCTCCTACGCCATTCTGGGTTTCGCCTTCGTCGAAGCCATTGGTCTGTTCGACCTGATGGTTGCCATGATGTGCAAGTACGTCTAAACGTGACCCCCGTGTGGTCCTAGGATTTGATGTGGCTTTTTCGACCGAATCATATCGAATCGAATCGAGAAATCGCGGCATCATCTCTTGATGAAGGAACAAGACCGAAACTTCTTGCTTTCAGCTTCTCCGTCCGGCGTTGTGTGCGTTGGGTCGGGGGGTGTGTGTTTTAGAGGTAATTTGTGGTGGTCTTTTTGATATATCATGTACTACTTTTCCCGCCAGCAATCATCTACAATCACCAAATAAACTGTACATATAGAGTTTAAAATGGCCACTCACTCCGTCCGGAGCCGATTCCTCAATTTCTTCCTTATTCATATCAATCACAGTAGCACTGAGCGAATCTACCAACTGATCTGGAGAAGCTTGACAGTCGTCACTCAGTAGTCTACTCCGTACTCTGTACTCGTACAGAAAGTGGACTCAATACAAGGTGTCTACTCCGTACGGAGTAGATATGGAGTCCAACATGCCACGGTGGATATGATGATTGGCGCGAGCTTCCCCGGATCCTAGAGAATGAGGCGTTCTTCATTCCGTCTACTCTACTATCTACTCCGTATGGACAATAGAATCGAGCCGAGGACCAGCATTCAGTCCTCCATAATGAAAATATTTTAACTCCTGTAAGAACTCTATCAAGCAGTCAGAGGCAAATTGCTTTGAGGTCGCTGTTTGTTTCCGTTTGAATTTGGAATCAGCCGTGCTGCGGTGTGGATCATCACCACTATTTGCTTGTAACAGCGATAGAAAAATGAGTTTTGTGAATGGATAAATGCATACAGGATGCATGCAGAATGATAGCTTGTTTAAATACAGCAAGTACAGACACAGACTATGGACACGGACTGGACAATCTGAAGCTGAATCCCGGTAAGGCAGGCTGAGCAGGATTTGCAGCTTGCCAGTTGCCGAGTCACCGCCCTAGATACAGGGACATCTTCATTTGATTTGATGCGAGGATCGGCGGTCATCATCTGCTCTTGCTGCAAGCATATGCTAGTGTTTGCTCTAGCAGATTAAGGAGTAATGGGATATGCACTGAGGAATGAGTGATGCATATTTCTGATGTACCTTGCAAGGGGGAGGAATGGTAGCGTTGTTTTGATGGCCTGGTTCACGTGATGCTCATGAGGAATTAGGATGGCCCAGTGTGAGTAAAATTAAGAGATCAAAGAGAGTCTGCTCCTAATAAAGTACGGGAATAGAGTCAATGGTGTGGGCACTGTGTACCTTTTCAATATATATTTGGCATTGATAGTGGTTATATATGATCTAAGACTGATCCTACTACTAGACAAGGTGATGTGCACTCATTCAAGGAAACTTAGGCACGTTATATATTCTTCCAGTGTCTACCGCTGTGCTATGTGTCAGGCATAACCAAAGCCTGGCTGGGGTCGAGTAAGTTACATAGCATAGGCCACTTCAACCCTTCAACTCTGCTCATATCTTCAAGCAACGCACGAGAGTAGACTCACCATCACTTCCATAACACCCGTAGCCATCCTCATCTTGAATCTCATAGCCAAGTCTGATGGTGATACCCCACACTCCGCAACTCCACAGTCAATACAGGCACTCGGGCACTCCCGGAACAGTCTCTAAGAGTAATATACTAGATTCTTATCTACCAGGTGAAGACAATTAAACGCATCATGCCATGAATCCATTCTCTACATCCCACAACCCCAACCTGACACGACAAAACCTCATCGTGACAAAAGCTGACTAACACCGGGAAATCATTCTTCCTTGATCCAGGTACGGAGGCATCAAACTGACCAAATCCAAGCTAACAGCATAGACATGACGACCCTCGCCTCTCTCATCTCAACGCTCACGCTCACATCCCCCAGAGACGCAGACGCAGACGCAGAAGCAGAGCCAAAAAAGCCAACACCCCTCTACACCCCCGCCTCCGTCCCGCGCATCAAGAACGCAAAGCGGCTGACCACCACCCGCCGGAAACAGCTTCTCCGGGCCGCGGAGCGAGAATATGATGACCCGCCGCCGCCGCCGGGGCTGGGCGAGTGCTGTGGGAGCTCGTGTGATCCGTGCGTGAATGATCTGTGGCGGGAGGAGTTGGCGTGTTGGAGGGAGAGGTGGGGGGATGGTGCTGTTGAGAAGAAAGGGGATGCAAGTACGGAGGGGAATGGTGATCAAGGGTGTCGGCAGCGGATGCCGGGGAGCTTTGACTGGTGATGTGATCACTTTGAGGTCAATTTGTATAAACCATGACGCATATAGACTGATAGACTAGCTAGCTATGGAATTCAATTGGAAGTGCTTATTTGACAATCTCAACCTGGCTGCCCGAAGGAACCTTGGCTTCATATTCCAGTGCCAACCGTATCTCCTTGCCCGGCTGCAACTTCAAGATCCACTTGACCTCGCCGTTCTTCCCCAAGACTACTGCCCCCCTGCCCTTGCTCGTCTCCATCGCCATCTCCACCGGATCGCCTTCCCTTTCCAGCCCCTTCGGCTCGAGGATCTGCACACGCAGTTTATCGTCCTCGCTCAGCGGCACCTGGTCGGACACAATCAGGTCAACAGCGATGCTCTTGGTGTTCTTCACCCAGCATGTCCGTCTAAAGACTGCTGTGTGCTCCTTGCTGAAGAAGCCGCCCCCAATGCGGCGGACGGACGGCTTCGCGTACGCCACCAGGATAGATGGATCGACGCCCAAGGAGATATTGAAGGAGTCGTTCGGCGCGCAGTTGGGCAAGCTGGTCGTTCCCAAGAAGGTGCCGTCGACCGTCATCCCCGCTCGACCGCGGAGGATGGTTACAGAGGACGTGTTCTGGATGCGGGCGCGCAAAAAGGCCGCCGCGCGGATCTTGGGAATAATGACATGGGTGAGGGCCAGAGACTTCAAGTCCAGCTCGGCCAGCACGTGGCGCCGATGCACGCTCGACGGCACAAGCGTACGGCGACCGGGGAGGTCATACGTCGTAGTCAAGCCGTAGTCTTGTTTGACGGAGTCCTGGTGCTCCAGACTGCCTGCCGCAATGGTTTGGCTATCCTCGTCCTCGTCCTCTTCATCATCGTCTCCGTCGTTGTCGGTATTCAAGCCGAGCGCTCTGTTGACGGCGGAGTTGAAGTATGAGCTCCTAGATGGGGCTGCCGCTGCCATCTGTCCTTGTGCCCGCATGGCCATCCCGAACCCAGCCGGCGGAGGGAGGGCATCCAATCTCTCTCCCCGCTCCGTCACCCGCTCGATCAAAGCCTGTTGCTGACTTTGCATTTGCTGTTGCTGACTTTGCATTTGCTGTTGCTGTGCGTTTGAAGCGCCAAACAAGGTAGGCTGAGCGGCCGGTCGCGGTGGAGCTTGTCCGAACAGTGATGCGGGTGCAACCTGCGGTGCCTGCATTTGTACTTGAGGCACGTTGGCGAGCCGCCGCTGATTGGCCTTCTCCATTTCCACAAGCTGTTGTTTAAGTGACCTTGCGTGAGCCTGAAGCGACTGACCGGGCTCGTCGAGGCTGCGCAGAATGTTGTTCCACGAAGGCTGGCCTGCGTTGTTGGGATCCAACTTGATATGCCAGCCCTGCAGTTGAGGAATGCGCTCCTCGAGCCCCGAAAAGGAAGCCTGGGAGGTGGACAAGGTCACTTGGGTGTCCCGCCATGTCTCCGAGCACGAGTTGTGGAACTCGGCGCGGTAGGTCAGACGAGCGGACGAAGAAGGAGTGCTGATCCTGAGATCATAGCGAGACACCCAGCGCGGACCTGGGATCACATATGTCAGACGCAGTGTCACGTCTACAACATCGGTGTTACTTCCAGCCTTTTCCACAATCGAGCTGCGTCGGCTCGATCCCGGAGTCATGATCGAGTGACTGTCGAGATGGACCACGACCTGACTGACGGTATCGGTCCAGAACCGTCTTCGCTCATTTCGCAACTGCTGCTGTTTCTTCTTCCTTTCTTCGCGCTCCCGCAGGCGTTTCCTGCGCTCCTTACGAGCATCCTTCAGAGCTGCCTCCTTGGCTTTGTTGTACGCGGTTTCCAGTCGTGCTCGCTTCCGATTGAGTCGCGCTAGGATTTTCTCAGCCTCTTGGATTTCCACTGTCGACTTGTGGTGCCGTTCGCATTCGACCGAGTGCTGCTGGACATAAAGCTGAAGGAAATCATTCAACTTCGCCGCGTCCGCATTCTCCATGCTCAATTTCTTCCCGTAGCCTTCCATGATATTCGAGACGCTGAGTGACATGGATTGATTGCCGCGCGCTTTGGCGAGGGTAGCCTGAACCTCTGCAATCTCTTTTCGTACCGCCTGTAGTTCCGAATCATCGATGCCAAAATCTCCATCCGAGTCGGTTTCTAGCGCGTCGCTCAGCTCATTGTCGGAATCCTCAGGATAAACATCCTCGAAATTCTCCCGGCGAGGGACTTTGTCGGTTTGGATGTCGGTGATGGTTGCTGAACCGGAGCCGTCGACACGAATGGAATCCGGGTCAACCTGGGGATCGAGGCCAAGGATGGTGATTTCATTCTGACCGGGCTGTAAAAAATCAGCATACAACTTAGAAATTCCTGTAGGCAGCAACTTACCTGGATAGTAGTCTGGATTTCACGAACAACAGTCGCTCTGAGCGGAGTCAGAGTGACAGATTTGGTGGGGAGGTCAGATACCAGAATCTCAGCCGTTGACACTGACAGAGACATTTTACGAGAGCTCTATTTCTTAAGATTTGCATTCCAAGGTCGCTTGAGCGAGACGCGTGGGGTTTAAATACACGGAGCGAGGCGCATACGGCGGGGGAGCCTCGTCCGCAGGCAGACCTCTCAGCCACTTTGAGTGCTGCCTTGTCTTCTCTGCCTATCAGAAGACGAACTGCAGACAGAGTTTGACGAAGGAAATCGGTCCATTAGTGCTGTCTGCGTTGGATCAGCAAGAGAAGTTTCTGTATTGCTTGATGCCATAAACTGCTTATGATGATCAGACGCGTCGCTACATGGTTGAAGATCTGTAAGCTGACCATCTCAGAATACTTCATGGTCGCACAAGTCTCAGGAGCCCATCGAACCGAGAAGAAACGCAGTCAACAACTTAGATCATGTACCATCACATAGAATCCTTTTGGATGTGTCAATCGAAGACTGGATGATGTTTTCAGTCCCAAAGAGGAAACATGGGTTGGTCACGTTGAGCTGATTACCTCATTGGGATATTACTTCTGGTCTAACCTTGTTGAGATTAGTCTACACGTGACAGGGTGATCATTCTAGTCCACTTACCCTTTTGGGAATGACAACCAACTACTACCTGTATACTTGCTTTCTTCTCACCACTCCCTTTCTCTCATCGTCGAGTCAATAGTCTCCTTTTTAGAACTACGTGTGGCATAGCGGCCAAAGAGGACAAGAACAGTCCTGCTCGGACCTCACATCGTTCAACCTGCATCTCCCGAAGACCCAGGAGAACCCCTCCAGGAGTGACCACGATGCTACTTGGACGAAAATTCATACCGAAAGATGACTATTCAGGTACGCGTCGGAGACCAGGGGCTTTTCCAAGACCCGCCAATCAAACCTTAGACAGTTCGCAAAGACTTGGAAAATGATGTTACTGCCTCCGACTTGCAACCGAGTCTTGCTGCAGGAATGGAGCACTGGACATATCTGGGCTCTGTGAGTAGAAGTGAGATTGAACACTCATTGCTGCCGATGTCTAGGTCCAGACAAGGACTCGTAATGCCACATAAGTCTTAACTACAGAACCGACTTCTTACTCCACTGATGCCCCTTCCCCTTCTCCTTCCGCTTCTTCTCCTCATACAGCCGCTTCGACAATTGCCGATACAAGAACACATTCCCCCCATGGTACCTAATCCCATGATCCGAGTCCGTGAACCACTGCACCTGCAGCTTCTCCGGCGTCACTCCCGCCCCAACAAGCGTGTCCACCAGCGCCGCCGCATTCTGGAAATGCACATTATCATCACCCGTCCCATGCTGGATCAGCACCCCGCCACGCACATTCTTGTAGCCCACCACATTCCGGATCGCACTGGCATTGTACCCTCCCCCGTTGCTCTCCAGCGTCTTCATATACCGCTCCGTATACATCGAGTCATAGAACCGCCAGTCCGACACCGGAGCCGTCAGCAGACCAAGCGAGAATGCCCCGCTGTCGGTCTCGATGACTTTGCCCGTCAGGTAGCCGCCGTAACTCCACCCCCAGATGGCGATGTGCTCTGCGTCGACGAAGGGGAGCTTGGCGGCCTGCTGCGCAGCGAAGACCTGGTCGGCGGCTTCGAGCTCGCCGAGGTGGCTAGTGACTTGGCAGCGGAAGGACCGGCCCTTGTATCCCGTCCCGCGGTTGTCGACTGTCCAGGTGATGTACTCGAGCTCTGGGTCTGAGGCGACGTAGGCCTTGAAGTCGAGGGCTTGCCAGGCCTTGGAGACTTCTTGCGCGCCGGGCCCGCCGTAGGGGGTGAAGAGGACGGGGTATTTCTTCTTCGGGGAGAAGTTGACCGGGAGGCGCTGCATGACGTTGAGGGCTTCGCCGCTCGGGAGGGCCAGTTCGAAGTAGCTGATGTTCGGGAGGGTGTATTGTTTCAGGGTGTCGAGCACGGCAGCGTTGCTGGTGATGGTGCGTAGGGGCGCGGTGGAATTGATGGCGTAGAGGTCCTGGTAGGGCACGTCGGGCCCGCGGTAGGAGAGGATGTAGTATCCGCCCTGCGAGGAGAAGGAGGCGGACCAGACGGCGGGGACGGCGTCGTCGACTAAGGGGGTGATGGCCATTGTCTTCCAGGAGACGGAGTAGAGATGGCGCTCGGTGCTGTGGTGTTTCGTGGAGAGAAAGTAGACCAGCCGGCGCGGCTTGTCGATGCTAAGGATGGCGGTCACTTCCCACTCGCCCTCTGTCAGAGCAATGGGCTCCCCTCCGGCGACAGGGAACAGCCAGAGATGCGCCCAGCCTGACTGGTCCGAGATGTCGATGTAGTACTCTTCCTTGGACTCGCCGATGGGCCCGATATACGCCATGGACAGCAGATTATCCAGCCATCCGTCTGTACCGTCACGTTCATTGATGATACGGGTCCTGAGCGAGCTCACGTCAACAGCGACGACCTTTTGCTGGTCCTGCACGCGGTTGTACGCCTTGACAGCTACGATATCATGCGTCTCGGTCAACCACGCCACCTCGCCGATGATCAACTCCTGCGCATCAAACGCATCGATCGGGACAGGCGCCCACTCACCGGTGCGTAGCTGCAGCAGGTTCAGCTCGACGGTGGGATTCGTCTGCGACACCTTGGGATACCGCAGCTCCAGCTCACGCGGGTACGGCGGCGCGATCTCCTCGTTGTCCATATAGTACGGCACGGTGAAGGTCGGGACCCCCGTCTCATTGAACCGCAGGAAGGCGAGGTACGCCCCGTCGGGTGAGAACCAGAGCGCAGACCGGTCACCCAGGATCTCCTCCTCGTAGATCCAGTCCGGAACGCCGTTGAAGAGATCCGGCCCGCCGTCGGTGGTGATCTGGCTGGTCGAGGCATTGGTCCAGACGAAAACGTCGTTGCCGCGGACAAAGGCGATGGCGTCGCCGGTGGGACTCCACTGTGCGTACTGGATGTCGCCTGACTGATACGGGGCGAGGGGCGTGAGTTTCAGCGACTGCACGTCCTGGATGAAGTAGTCGGCAAAGTACGAGTGCCGGTATTGCTTGGTGTAGTTGGTGGCCCAGAGGACTGAGGAGAGATCGGGATGGATCCAGTAGCTGTAGGCATCCTCTGGCACTCCGTCCGCAGGGATGAGGGTTTGAGTGTGGTTGGTGACGATGCTCTGGATTTTGAGACTGCCATCCTCGTCTTGGTAGACATAATCCCCATCCTCCGAGGTGGAAATCCACTCGACTGAGATCGACGAGGGGGAAATGGCTCGCTTGACGACCGTCTCATTCAAGGTCAGTCGTTTCTTGCCGCCTCCAGTGGGAGCATATGGCTGACGAGGGACGTCAATGGCGGCAGCGCAGCCGAGAAGAAGGAGGATTGACCACTAAATTGTCAGTCATATGGCATTTTTTGGTGTTTTGATACAAGCACATACCTTCATTTTGATCGCAGCTGGTGACAGGGGTAACCTGCTACGGCCACCCTGCCTTAAATACCTTGAATATTAAGGAATGTACCCCGCAACCGAGCCAAGATGATTGTATCATTTTAATCCCGACGGAGAATACTCAGGAGATAGATCTTGAGCACGATATCTACCATTCAAGTTGTCTGCTTTTCGATTGCCAAGCAAACAATTGTAGACGGAGGATGGCTATCAGCGGAGTATGCACTTAGCGTTGTAACCCAAGACTGCGCAGATGAACAACAAGGAATTGACAAGGAAATTATCGGTATTGATTGGCCTACGATGTTATTATCGTTATTTGACCCTTTAGCATGTCTTACCAGGCAATTTCCCGTACATGCTGCATAAGTCGAGATTGATTCGGCATGTCGATTATCGGATATCTGCAGTTTGTTTGTACAATGAGCAAAGTCCCGGATATATAACTGGTCATCTTCTAACGACGCCGGAAGACCACCTGGACTAAAGATTAGCGGTCTGGAAGACTCAGTTCCTGTCTTCATGTGTGTTATTTCCCCTCATAGACGTGCGGTTGGTCGTTGGTGCGGCCAAAGCAATGCCGGTGATGGCGAGGAGAGAGAGAACTGAGAGAAATGCATGCTGCAAAGATGATTCCAAGCTGGAAATTTGTTTGTTTCAGACCGAGATTGAGATGAGACTGATTTTGGCCGTAGTACGAAATAAGGCTGGAATCAGGATATCATAGCGTTCTGCAGAAGGATAGATGAGTGTGGACTTCTGGTTGGGATGAAGGGATGTCTGACGTTGCATTGCTTCAAAGATCTGCTTCAAGTTTCTGTACTATCATTATGTGCAACGGTCCATTGAGGGTTGCCCTTTTATTGAAGCTTATATGGTATTATTGATGTCAGCATTTCTGAATATGGACTGTACTGTCCAGCGTCCGGCTTCGTTTGGGCCTACAGGATGATTCTGTGCTCAACTCCCTCTATCCGATAATCAAAGTCATTTCTTCTTGTTGCTCGACTATATCACACGGTGAAGAGAAGACCACCCTTTACTTGCATCATGACCTACTTACAGCACCGAATCACCATTCCTGAATATCTACTCGTCTCCGATCTGTCAACACACATTAGCCGTGACCACTTACTAAGCACAAATTACATACCTTCCCTGCACGACTTCATCTAAAAGGGCTGCACGTCGCCCTTGGGGGCATACTGGCCCGCGTTGCCCAGCGCACCCACGTTCAGGGGACCGCTCAGGGTATGGTCGACGTTCACGCCGTCCTCGAGGAGATTGTTGGCGATGTCGTTGTTCTTCACGGGAACATCAACATTGACAGGGATTTTGGTATGGTCGACATTGACGCCGACGAGATCATTGGTTTGGCGGCCTAGTTGATATATGTTAGTTGTGTTTTACTCTGCTGGGCATGAGGAGACGTACGGTCGACAGCGGGAGCAGCCACGGTCATGCCGGCAACGGCGAGGAGGGAGATAATGGTAGAAAACTGCATTTTGGAGGGTTGGACTTGAGGGTTGAGAAGGTTTGTTTGAGTTGAGAGAAGAGTGTGTTGATGATGATGGGGGAAAGCTCGATGATTGACGCCTTTTATATCTTGTCTGGCAAATGGGCGGGCTGTTGATTTTCTGCTTGGGGCGAGATGATCATGTATACAGTAAGGCGCTCAACGGTCTAGGCACGATCAATAGATCAACGGTCAAAAGCAGGCATGGTCTGATAGTGGCCGGAGAAAGCAAGGGGTCTCTCAGTTGTGATATCATATTTCCTTCAATTAAGGGTCAACCCTTGACAAAGCTTACTTCAGACTATCAGTACTCTAAAATTTGCCTCCTGCACGGGGTGGTCTATTGCATTATGCTTTTCCTTGAGACTGCAAGGACAATCAACTCTATGTACATCTCCTCCTCACATCGTCAATCATCACCACTTACCTCCCAACCATGCTCATAGCATCCACCCGAGACGACTCCAAACCTGCTTCCGTCTATCGAGTAACAGCCTTCCTCAAAAAATCCGCCATGATCATAATCTCCTCCCCGCTCTTCAACCGCTCCCGATACCGCGGCTCCGACTTCCAACACACATACCCCCGCCGCGCATACCAATCCACATTGCACATCGCCGGCTTCTTCTCCTCCAAGATCTCCCACAGCCCAAGTCCCTCGGGCCCCTCCTCGTAGAAATACCGCCTGCTCAGCGCATTGACCGTCACAAAGCGGCAGGCCGGACTACCCCACGGCTCCTGGCTCGCCATTCCCTCGACCAGATCCATGACTTTCCCCCCGAGACCGTTGCACCGGTACTCCGGGCGGATGAAGAAGTTCTGGATCGTCAGGACGGATTTGTCAGCGCGGGCGAGCTCAGGGTCTGGAGGGTCAGCATAGGAGTCCAGCGAGATGTGGCCCGCGCGGATAGCTAGTTTCTCTTCTGTCCGGTTGTCTGTGTTGTCTCCTGGGGTAGATGTGGCCGGGAGTGTGATCCAAAAGAACGATTTAAGGTTCTGGTCCTGTTTCTCACGCCATGAGAGGATCTTGGTGTCGTCTGCGTCCCAGCCGCATTGGACGCGCTGGGACTGGAGCTCGGCGTACTCGGCTGGATTGTGCAGGTTGATGGGGACCAGGGTGCAGGCCATGTTGGTCCTTTGACTTGATTTGATTTGACTTGTGAGTAGAGTGATCACTTTGCATCAAGAAATTTCATCCCCGCGGTTATTGTCTTACTAGTTCGTCTGCTTGGCTGGATTGAGGCGCGTATGAGTCATCCGCGTATAGCCGATTTTAGTTAGCTGAGTATTGTATTATCAATCATGGCGATATCCCATTGGAAAGACGCACAATTCTTGGCATGTTGGGCTTCTGAAGAATTGGTTTCCCTTGATCTAGTCTGCGGAGTAACGTAACGTGGGGATGCTTGTAGCCGAGAAGCTTGATCCGCAGACCTACGCCAACTGGACACGTTTCTGAATCTATACTTCGACTACAAGCCAGAGTAAAAGTCTCGAGAGTCTAGGCTAACCATGACTCAAGTGAAGATAAATGCCTTTGAATCAAGAGGACCCGCATTATCTTTCCCACTTTTTGGCTTCTTTTGCGGTGGCCTCCCGCGGAGAATAATGAAATCTGGTCTAAGCCATCGCAAAGAATTGTAGTCCCATTAAGGATACTGCCGCTCTTAGACCATGTTGGATCCTTTAATGATTTCTGATCTACTACCGCAGGCTTATTCCTCATCTGGGGCTATTCATGTAGCATTCCTTCACCACAAAGGAATACGTCACTAAGAAGAGTCTAGAGCCGTAGGCAATGTATTCAAAGAAGGAAGTGAATGTAGAGCCCCTAGAGCAGTGAATAATGCTTATATTCACCCATATAAGGCATGAATACTGCTGTCTTTCCCTCATCTCTGTCTGACAAGTAATACTTCTAAGTCTAGGTGTCAGGATAGCTATGGTTAGGTGACATTCTAGATCTCCCTTAACGCTGATTTGCCTGTATATTTTCGTCTATAATAATGCTTTATGCTTGATAACGACAATACAACTTCTCTACTATGGGATCATACCTAATAGTCCAAGACACTGTGACAGCCTTGGCCTGATCTGCTCTCAGTCTCGCGTCCTCAATCTCCTTCAATCTGGACATGTGAGCTCCTATCTTTCTATTCACCTTTACCTTGTCTGCCTGCTATATCTCTGGAATATAAAAGCCCCCTTCTCTTCCCTTCCTCCCTCTCCTCTTCTTCTTTTCTTTATATCCTTCCCTGAACACTTCCATTGCTCTCTACCTCTTGATTCAACCCAACTTCTTAACTTCTCTCTGTTACCAGAACTAATCAGTCTCTCTATCCCTGTTCAAGGTTCCAAGCTACTCAACTATATCACTTCATTCTACCTACTGAATAGGGATAATACTATTAGGTAAGATTTCCTACTCCTTATGCTTTATCTGATATTCATTATTCTGTTTCTACCTTCCATCGTTTATTTCCTGTTAAAGTTCCCATCCTTCCTTCTATCTTCTTAACATGAACCATCAGACTAACAAACATTATCATAGGAACCATGTCCACCTGCCATCATTGTGGGGCAGCTTTCACCACAGATGCTCCATTGATAGAAGTCTCCATCTACGATACAACTACGGATCCTAATCTTGAACATACCCCATACTGGGTGAAGGTTCTATATCATCACGCAATGACGTATCAATATGAACTGGCGGTTAGCAGGGGCTTGAGCACTTTATATTGCTGGCGACGAACACAGGCGGAACAAACCCTTCATGATGTACTTCATGTTCGGCCGGTGGTTTCCTGGCGACAATCTAATTCCTGTTGTTTCTCTCAGGGAAAGTGAGGGCAAGACTCAGAGGGATTGATCAAGGCCTCCCTCGAAACAGCCGCTGTCAGACCATGGAGAAAATACCTGTCTGCTTCGCTCAGTGTCCTGCTGAACTCTGCCGTTTATGGTGGTCAGCTTTCGCCATTTTGGGAATTCAACCAGACTACATCGGCTGGTCTCTCCCTGTTATTTACAAAACGGCGAATGGCCCTGTTGAGCAGAGTACTATATGGTTGGAGGCAGCTTTCGCAAACCTACTCAGCGAAGATTATCCAGCTGTCACGCCCTATGGATATTTTTTATTTGCGGTTATTGACAAACTAATAATAGAGGTCCATGGAATAATTATCTATCGCCAGGTCAGCATTGACTAGGTTGCCTTGCTGGTGAAGAGTATGTCACCACTGTTCAAATTGCCCAAGCTCTCCTTGTCTCAGTTGAAATAGGTTGATCAACAATTACTGCTGACTTCTCCATATCCTCTGCAATTCTATATGTTTGCCCTATCTCATCCATTGATCTCTGCTTCCGCCATCCGGCCTCTGTTTGCTGAAGGTAAGTTTGCACATAAATCCAACCATAGACCAGTTTACTGACTTCAGCGATGAGGTGCCTCTACCCCCTCTACCTACACCGATTTGGAAGCGAAAGCAGACAAGTACCGGGACGACGCAACCCTCATCAATGGACAGTTGATGGATATAAGGAAGCCATGACCCTAGAACAAGACCAGACTATCGAACAGCTCCAGATTGCTAATCACGCACGCAATGAGGCCGAGAAGGAATTGGAGGAGATCACCCCGTGAACGAGATGGATTTGCCCTTCAGCTGGCCCGCGGATTAGGAAACACTGGTTCCCAGGCTCCCATAGCCGCCAGTACTAAGTCTGCAAAGACACCTGACCCCCCTCCCCTAGGAGATGGCAAGACCCTAGTTTTGAAGATTGGCTACTAGCCATCAAACAGAAGCTGAATGCGAACGCAGATAATTATCACACGCCCGCCCTCCATATTACGGTATGACATAGTTTCCTCCATAAAAAGGGGAAGGACACCCTTTTCAACCTGGGGAGGATAACGGGGTCCGACTAAACAAATCGCCGAAGGGGTGTGCGCCGCCATTGGAAAGCTTTTCGACGCTTCTCTCATCGGCCCAGCGTTATACTACCTGGGTATGAAAATCGATATGGACTGGAGAAACGGCAAGTGAAGCTATCTCAGCGCAGAAGTGCCTATTCCTAGTATTGAACAAGAGGAGGGTGTATACATCAGCCCATTACTCGAAACAAGGAGTATTTCATCTATGAGCATAACCGAAGATTCCTTTACTCCTCGCATAGCAGCAGAAACAAGAGTAAGGGAATTTGTGGTACCTTACGACTAATAACTAATATTTCTAGGATGCAAATTCCATCGCTCAGCAAGTCCTTAATAACCTCCCTTCACCTGATGATCCTACGCCGACACTTTCTCCTGATGAGGATATCATTCATGATGATGCGATAAGGATGATCCATGAGGTGGTTGAAGAAGCACAGACAGATGAACTACAAGTTGATGATGAGGTACCTACACCTGTAGCTCAGGAAATGCCTCCACCAAGTCGTTTTCTCAGTCCACGCAATGTGGCAGATCGATCAGAGGAGGTACCCCAATATCGAAGCAAATTCGATATGGAACCATTTCACATTCTACTTGCAGGCTGGTGTCTTTAGCGATCGGTCGACATCTTTGATCCTGACTCGAATAAAACTGCCGCTACTCCTATGGAAGAGGGGGCAAAACTCACCAAGTCGGACAGGACACGACCCAGAACTTAAGGAGAGATATGGCGCAGGCATCGGCTCGGTCATGTATCCAATGCTGCAGACTAGGCCTGATACCTCGTTCGTCGTCGGCAAACTGGCACGATTCACATCCAATCCAGACAAGATCCTTTGGAAACACTTTCATCTTATACGATCCTTCCGCCGTACCATCGATATCGGAGTCATCTACCAGCCGCACGAAGGCATAGATCTGATGCAGAAACTAGGCGTGATCGTTGGATACGTCGACGCCAACCACAGACATAAAATAAAAAGGCACAGCCGGTCTTCCGACTCCCGCGTGCACGGAGAGTATGCGCACCACTATACAATTCTAAGGTGCTACAATAACGAGGACTAGTTCATGCAGCCGCTCCACGACGGTGGCTACCTGGCTAAACAGGCATTTCACCTAGTTTATCCTGTCAAGAAGGGCCGCGAGCTGCGAAACCCCTTTGTCCCAGCCAACTACCAGGCCAAGGGTCCAAACATGTGCCAGAATTTTATCATGGTCGAGCAGGAGCTACTCCCTGGACGGAGAGAATGGGAGGTGCAGAGAATTGGAGACATTGGCCTAAATGCGACACGATATCCGACCCGCCGCTTGCAATCAGAAGCATCATAACGAGATGAGAATGACGCCAATACGGTCAGATCCGTTTTCAGATATCTTAGGCGCAATCCATATGGAATTGAGCTAGGGAGGAACCCCTCTGAGGGGCTCTACGGATACGTTGACTCCTCTTTCCAAGATCAGCATCGCTCAAGAATATGCAGGTAAGTCTCTTAGATTATCTTATCCTCTATTAAGCTCTAATCAATCCCTAGGAGCATGTTCAGAAAGAGAAAGAAGTGGACTGAAACCTCCATGGTGTATTTGGAATGTCTGACTGCACAGATGCCAACAAACTTGCTTCCTACTTTGATAAAAACTACACACTGGATAAATTCCAGACAGTCTTCTTTTTCACAAAGCCAATTCTTGATCACGACAATACTACTCGCCATGCATGTCATTCCTTGGTGATATGCCACAGCAGCAAGACAATGCGGGATTCAAACGTCCATCAGCTTGATGGCAAATCAACGGAGGCGTATGTCTTTTTCTTTGCGGGGGCACCGATCAGTTGGCGAATATACAAGAATCTAAGGCAAATCGCGCCCAACGAGGAGAGCCGGGAAACCCAATCAAAAGCGGATTCAAGCTAGATACGTCAACTACTGCTATACCTAGGGAGGGACAATACTTGGGACTTGGACTAAGGAACCAGACACCTGCTGAGGACCCAAGGCCACTGGCTACATAAAGTTTGTGCTTCAGCTCAACTTGATTCTGGGGCTTTCATGCTCGTCCATTATGTCTGACCTTTCCCATATTCAGTACCAGTCTTTGAAGAGACTCTTCTGATGCGCAAGACCGGTGGATACTGGCTCAAGAGGAACCTGTTCTGAGAAGCACTTAGACGGTCCTTTAACACTTCATAACGGTTGGCTTTTTCTCCTTCCCAGTCGATACTGTCAATCAACTGACTTGACGAACCAAGGAAATGCCATGTCGCTGGCCTGAGAAATTCAAGAAATAGGGCAGTGGATCCTTCATTAATCCAGAAATTAAAAGCATCCTTCAAACTAGGGATCAGGAGATTCGCGATTGAAGACGGACTGAGAGTGATGCTGCAATCAAGCGAATTTGATGAAATTCTGAAGCACACAGTCAGAATCTCATTCTCTCCTCCATGCACTCGCAATTTTAGCAGCACACGATACGTTTCTACAATAGAGTCCAAGTACTTGTTCAACTTTGAGATCCCTTTCCTAGAGACAATCATTCCTGAATTCAGGTCCATCCCCACAAACCCAGCTCAGTGGCGCTATTTAGCCAGGGACCATGAAGTAATAAATCAGACAGTCAACACAATACAAGCTACGCAGTCTGGTTCCTCAATCGCACCCCAGCAATTCCTTACATTCCATGTTCTCTGGCCTCGACGCACCCCCCTGAACAAGATCAGCGGTGTCCATACACTGATGAAAAAGAAGGATCCTAAGGAAACGCGATGATCTTCAGAAACATGGAACGGTTCAATGCCGCCTTTGAAGCCTACCTGCGGTTAATCAGAGACAATAAGGATCCTTCAATGAGATGGGAGTATTTCAGGATTCCCGGATCAGCAAGGTGCATATTCCTTTCTCTTTGCTTCAAAGGAACGTGTGAATGGCACCAGGGATCTCTCACTGTACTCTGTGCCAATCGTCAGAATGTCCAAAGAGCAAACAGTAGTGGATATTCCGCACTTCAAAGCATTCGGCACTTTGAGTCTTTCTCCTGATCAACAACACAAGCTTCTCACAGCCGAGTTTACCAGAGACGATTGACTTGAGCCGGATTGCCAACACACTCAAACATGATCGATTCAGACATGTAGTCAGGCAATTCTGCCAGATGCGCTACGGGGGAGAAGATGTTTACATGGACAACAATGAACACTATCAATGCCACGGACGGAGTATCTAGCTACTCGGGAAAGATGGCATTGCATCACAATGCCTCTTAGATTATGCGCAGCTCTGCTCTCCCAGGGGATTAGAGTCTATACAACTTCGAGTGAGGCCAATCTCTGGTGCTTCCAGCAGCTATCTCATGGACAGGGAAAAGGCAGTGTACTAGATTCTTTTAAATCAGTCACTCGCTCAACCTGAAAAGTATTTTGCGTGTGGAAAAACTCTCCGAGCCGAAAACATGTCGCGGCAGCTGAGCCTTCTGTTTCCTGGATCCCAATCGAAATCGCTGCGACCAGCATCGAACAATCCGTCTTCGTCCCATTGGAATTATGATCTTCTTTCACTTCTTCAACATGCCTGATTATCGTTCGAAAAGAGGCCTAAGCTATCCGATCAACATAGGAGTTTCCAGGTATCGTACCTGCGAGATGTGATATCACGAAGAAATCACTTCTATTTCTGTCTGTGTTGTTCTGGATCCACACTTTCGGACTCCAAAAGCCGCAAAATCCGACGAGGATTAATAAATAGCCTTGGCTGCCTTGCTTGCTTCAGATAGGTACCCAGTACCCTCGAGTAAAGAATGGCATGATCCGACTATTGGAAAGCTTAAATACAGCAGGAGGCTGGATGCTTATATAAAATATCAGTGATCCCATGATCAATCCAAAGTCAAAAATCCATGTCGTCATAACCCCGTCTTTATAAGACCGCTCCCAGACCCTATCCACAACCATTCTATCCCTCTACATCAAGAAACTTACAACCGTCAAAATGAGCGCATTCCCACCTGCATTCCCACCTGCATTCCGCACAGCGCAAGTCCTAGGCTTGACAGGCGCCGCCTGGCTATCAGGTCCATCCCAACCCTCACCCTCCCACAAGTAAGAGTGTAAGACCAACACTAACACAGACACAACCAGGCAACATCCTCTCCCTGAGCATGATCACCACCCCCGCCCTCCTCCAATCCCTCCACGAAAAACAAGCCACCCCGTCCACCGCCGCCAAGCTCTGGGCCAACATCTACACGTGCGGCAAGACGCAGAACCCGCCTATTGCGGCCGCGACTGCAGCCGTGTTCTTCTACCTGGCCTGGTCCGTCCGCGAGGGCACGGCACTGTCGCTGTTGACGGCGCGGAACAGCGGGCTCTTGTATGGTGTTGCTGGGGTGTTGACCGGGGGGATTATTCCGTTTACGCTTGCGTGTATGATGGGGACGAATCGGTCGCTGGAGGCTAAGGTGGGATCCAAGGATGAGATCGAGGGGACGCGGACAGATGTTGAGACGCTTTTGAGGAGATGGGGGGTGTTGAATGCTGTTCGGGGAGCGTTGCCTTTGGTTGGCGCGGTGGTTGGGGTGCTTGCTGCGTTTTCTTGATCTTACGTCTGCTTGTGTAGTATTACCTTAGGGGGTCTGTTATGCTAATCATTTGAAGTTTGTCAAAACTTGAAAAATCTAGTGGAATATAGCACTAGTTCTTACTGAGAAGTAAGCAGTATTTCTACTTGACACCTTTGATAACTATTTAACAAAGGACGAGAGCATGAACTGTTTTGAAATGAGAATACAGATTGGGTTCTTTCTTGATGAAGACATCGAAACACTAATTCCTTCATTAGAATCTCAAAAGGACATGTATGAAGGTGCTGTGCTAGTAAATTTGTTGCTCAGGGCCAGAGCAGGAAGAATCACATTCTTCGCCAATGCCACGATTTCCATCATAATCCCCCGGACAAGTTCAAATGCGAAGGGCTCGGAAGTTAGGAGAAAGCACCTCGTAGTGACAAACGTGCCGACTGTCTCAGATTAAAAGGACCCTATCCGGCTCCAGTCGAAAGACCCAGCTTAATCTAACCTACATGAACAGAATGTTTATGATATCAAACGTCGTCACGTCGTCACGTCGCCAGCAGCGCTGAGATGAAGATTCCGCCCGATGGCACGATGACTTGCAAGAAGTTCGGATCTATGCTTCGACCTGGCCCTCTTCTTGCTCTTCCATGGGAGCGAATGATGCTTTTTGAAGGCGTCCTAAAGTCGGAAGCCTCCCGCATTGGAGTACTGCGGGGGGAGAGCTGCACAAAGCTGTTGGCACCACTTTCAGAACCTCGCTGTCAGTGGGAGATAGGACTTGCGTTTTGTAGCATGAAAAACTCAAGGTCCGATGGGAAGAAAACAAATCCGGGATCAATATCACAGCCAAACATTTGATGGCAGTTTAGGCACAAAGACACGCCGTTGTGCCGGTCCGAGCGGGCTTAACAACAACCCCAACATATCAGCCAACGACCAGAAGTCAACGTTCCTAAACACGGATTTCCTCAATTGGAACTTTGATATGTACCGGCGCCGCCAGTCTGGATGCAGTCCGGGCTCGGAGATGGCAGGAAGAACCGCAGGAGTAGATGCCAGAGCAAAGGGGCGACGCCTGTAGATTAGGAGGGAGCTGATACGGAGTTTTTAATGGCATAACCATCACCATGGTAGTGGCTGATGATGACCACTGTTGGTGGGGAGCTTGGGGGAGGAAGGGCAGTCCAATACTTACTGACTGTCCCTGGGCGCTATGTGCCTCTTTCAGAAGATATTCGCGAATGCCTTTGCCATGAGAAGATAGTACGGGGCTGGCGCGAGCAATGACTTTCCATCCAGGCTGAGACAGGACAGCATGAACCTGGGGTCTGTTTTGTCCTTTTCTAATCGCGTAACGATGTTGAATGCTCTTTCTGGTGATCTTACTCGAGCACCCAACGTAGAGTGCCTTGTATGTTCTCAGCTAGTAGGCTGAGAAAAGGTTGTGAGATTAAGGCCTGGTGTAATTCCGAATAGTCAATCGATGCCCTGGTCTCTTCTCGGTCGGTGATAGACTGCTCTTGGACTGACGTGAGCGAACGTCCGAATCCTTCTGTTGGCATGAGCGTTGACTGACAGGTGAGAGGCAGATTTAGATGTGGTGATGGTAGCAGATTGTCAATGGTTTCTCGTCTGTCTCCGCTTGCAGATACTTAAAGCAGACGGTAATCACCGTTTGGATACTCAATGGCTAAACGTGCTCGAGACTCTGAGGTCCCAATCTCAACGACACAAGCAGGCCAAATTCGCGGAAATCATCTCTGGCCTTTCCGCATTTTCCTATACTCCGAGTGTGAATGTTCTCCAGGGTTTATAGCTTGTCGTCAGACAAACACCTCCAACGAAAGGCGAATTTCATCAGTGGAGGCTGGCACTTGTGTATCCACGTCGACATCGACATAGAAACCAAAGACCGACAGAGAGCCGGCGATATTCCAAATGTCTTATTGAGTGTAGAGGACATGGTGATGATACCGTCCTTCCGGGTAATATCAAACGAAAGATCGTGTCGCTGATCTTCATGGACCAGACACTGTCTGCAAGAACGCTTTGCCGTCGGGCCTTTAAACCCAGCATTCGAGTTCTGTTGGGGCATATCCCCAAGGAACGCCACCATCATTCCATACTTCTTTGGCTCGCCAGTCGGTTCCGGCACAGGAGGTTTGGGAGGAGAGTTAATAATGGTCGCGTGTAGTGCAGTTGATTAAGCTTCGGGCTTGCGACCTTCCGTAGGCTCTTTAGGCTTCAGATCCCAAGTTCAGTCTTCCAGCTTTCCAATGACTGTCTGTCCATTAGGGAGCTCAACCTCAAGTCCAAGGTCAAGACGCGAGAGCACAGATAGGGACAATCTAATATCAGGAAGGTTACTCCCATGTGGACCAAGTGTGATGGGGAAAATATTGATTTCCTTAGCCCATACTGGAGACACCACATTTATTCCCTCTTTCACAACATGGTAGGTGCCGAGTGAGCATTGCGACAGTCTTGGTTTCAGTTCCACCAAATCACTCATTGTTGTGAACCATTTGCACTCACTAATCAATCGCTCTCAATCGGCTCCTGAGCGTTGTCGCAGGAGTGGTCTTGGCCAGGCGGAGTGTAGGATCACCAGGTACCCGCAAAGGTCTCGAAGATCTGGCTGGCCATGGACGTCTCTAACCCAAGGTATTCTAGCACCGCGGCACTCTCTTCCTCGGAATGTCCATAGAGATGGTGCTTGGTCGGAAGTTCCACGTTCGAACCGACGCCGAGGGCACTTTCAGATTGACCGACCACTCATGCTGGCACAAGTCCCATGAGGGCTAAGAGGTCCCTTGCAATGTCCCGGAGTTCGTCGAAGCGAAGTGGAGATGCCATTGGATTGGTGCCTGGAGCCATACTGTTCCCGAAAAGAATTTGTCGAGTGGAAGGCAGCACTTGGGATTGTGCCTGTATTGGAGGCGTTGGAAATAGAGTATACTTTCGCGAAGAACTGGCATTCCGCTTCTGTCCAGTGTAATACTCTGCGCTCCCTGTGACAGTGTCTGTTCCCTCAGCCTTCTGCTATTTCAGCAGAAGAACCGCCTTTACCTCGCCATTGCCGTCAACGAGCACTTCATCTCCTGCTGGCTCAATGTCGTCTGAGGTACCATTTCTTGAACCCATTTAGTTATCCATCTATAGTTCTATACAGCCGGCGTGGATCAAAGTGGGGATCAGATAACGGAGTATGCCTTTAGAACTGTTGCAAGAGTACCTATGATACATATTGTTAGGTGCAATTACTTGATGTAGAAGGAACATAATCTTACCTGGCTCTCTATTCTTCAGAAAGCAGCATCCCGTAGGCGTTGCATTGACTTTTCTGACCATCCGGATTCAATTACAAAACTGGGGAATCTCTGAATCCTGGGCGGACGATAAGATCCGGCTCCTTTCGAGAACCATTATATGCCCTTGAAAGAAAGTTGTCCGCGTCAAACCATATGATTAGCTTGTCAGCAGTTTGGCGTCATTGAAAGTGATAGCTCCGGTCAAACATCAATGGCTTTTCCCGTTATGGACCCATGGTTGGTGAGCGTCATGAATCTGCGTTGGCATCATTCATTCGAGGCCCTGATGTGCTTGTCTTGCAGTGGAGTCTGTCCTAGAAGGTTATCTGAGTCCAAAGCAATGAACTGGCCCAACTTACCAAATTCCAGAGCTTTCCAGCTCTTGTCGAGATGCTTCTATACAGCTTCTTGCTTCAACAGATGGTCTCTATACATGAGACTTGTTGGGACTTGCCGAGGAAGAAGGTTTTCCTCTCTCGCTGTCCTTGAGTTCGAAATGGATGAAGTACTGTAAATCCGCTGGTATAAACACGAATCCCGTATCGTGAGCCTGGTCAAAGATTGGACATAGAGGGATGCCGTTTGCCGCGGAAGCACGCGCAATAAAGATCACAATTGGTTCCATGTCTTCTTTTTTTGAAGAAAGAAACCCGAGAATCAATATGATTTCTTAAAGCGACACTGAAAGTATCTAGCAAAGAAAGCAAACGCCCTCGACACATTGTGGTCTTGAGGAAAGAAAAGAAAAGAAAAGGAGAGGATTTGAGAAGTGCGAGCTGGGTGCCCGGGAGACTCCCTTCAGGGTTTGAGGTCCTGCTTGTACACAATCTCTTCAAGACGGTTCAAACTTGAAATAGTATGGAGCATGCTAGATGAATTCAATCTCCACGGGAAATGCAGTCGCATTATAGAGTCGCTCCGGCGTCCCAACAGCTGTCTCAGCTGAAGATGACATTTTGCTTTGGATGAAAGAAGCAAAGTCATGGGCAATGGCAGGTTTATATTCTTCCATCTATCAACAACGGATAAGTGAATAATATAAAGTCAAGAACCCAGACTAATGAATGCCCCAGGGTGAATGTCAGCAGCTTATTAAAGTAGAATACTTCTTAATCTGTGAATGCATAGAAGCTATATAGATTACTTTAGATTTTAAGCTCTATACTATCATTATATAAGCCTTAAGTATAGTAGACTAAGTATAATCTCTAGAATATACATAGCTTTTAGTTGAAGTAAATTAACATCAGTAGGCCCTATCTACTAATCTTAAGTTAATATTATCACCTGTAGGGCTTTATCCATATTTCTGCCTTGGGGATCAGGATAGAGAATCATTCACTAAGGTTATAATTCATCATATTCAAGCTAAGTAAAGTGAATGGAGTTATTTAGGTTAAGTGACATCCATCATCCACAGACCACAGCAAATGCTCCAGGCCATTAAATCAGAGCCATAAAATCCAGGCCACCTCAGGCAGCAGGCATTGACAACAAACAGAGCAAACAAACAAAGATAAGCGATAAGAGATAAGGATAAGACGATAATGGGATATTGAATTACGACACCACTCCGGGAGCAACACCTCATCCCTTGCTCACTACAGAAAATCAACATGGTGAGTTCCTATACCCCTCCATTGAAATTTTGAAGCTGACCAGAGTAGCACGGTCGTTGTCTATCCACCTGCCTCAAGGGGCGATTTTGGTCGCTTCCCTCCACGAGGATAACTCAACAAATGGGAGTACCATTTAGGAAACCCAGTGGCAAGCCTAAACAATGGCCGGCTTTCACACAGCTACGCGCCGCTACGGTAGATGCTACTCAGAACCATCCAAATCTTGGTGGATCCTCGACCCCCACAGTGCGGGTACAAGGGCCGGAAAGCGAGGACCTGGACAACCACAAAGCCAACCTCATCTCACAAATCAAGAGCATCCCCCAGGACACCAGCTCTCTGCGGATCGAGGAAAACACTCCCTCGGACAAGGAATGGTCAATCCTTGGCGAGCACTTTACCAACATCCGCGACCTGGAAATGGACAGCGGGTTTGACGAGGGGCTCAACGATAAAGAGATGCCCCTGCACTGGCCCCTGGAACGGCTCGAGGTCAGCTCCGCTGCGGGCCAGGTTTTCCAAACACCCTTCGTCCTCCAAGGCCGAGTCAAACATCTCGCTCTCATCTTCACCTCTGATCTACGATTCGAAGGTCCAACGAACGCAGAACTGGAGCGCGCGAATCGCGAAGCCATTGCGCGCGGGGAGGCAACGCCGAGATCCCTCACGGTTGGTGAGGGAACACCGGAGGAGCGAAAGATGGAGGTGACGTATATCCCTGAACTGGTGGCGCAGTGGATGACAGACAAGTACTCCAAGCCCAACCCGCAGGTGGAATCGGCGAACCGGCCTCCTGCGCAGGTCACCACGGACACGCTGGAGATTGTGGAGAACGATGCACTGGATGCTTTCTGCCGGCTGGCGGTGGCGTTGCCTCATGTGGTTGATAATCTCAAGACGCTGACGCTGCGCTCTACGCATGGGCTGGATTTCCACTTTGCGAAAGAGAGTATGTTCGTGGCTGTCCTCCCTCATCTGCTGAATCTGCAGACGCTGCGGTTGAGTGTGGGAGATATCTTCGAGGACGAGGAGTATCTGCCAAACCTATACACAAAGTTACCGCCGAATTTGTCGACCCTCTTCTTTCGGGGTCCCGCATCCCTGTGTCAGTCGAACAAGTGGGAGAAGTGGATTGAGTCCTTCGCCTCGAAGGATTATCTTCCGGGGCTGAAGAAACTGGGATTTGTCCTCGACTTGCATTATGAGGGTGACAAGGATGGGAAGAAAGAGGTTCCGGCGCCAGAGGCGCTTCTTCGCGAAGCTCGAGCTGCTTGTGACCGGCTATATGCGGTTGCGAAAGACCGTGGAATCACGATTGAGGCTATGCACGATGAGTGGGCAGACCAGTTCGAAAATCTGCGACAAGTGGATGATCGCTGGGGTGCCTTGTGAGCCTTGCATGATTCACTCATTTGTATACCGATATGCTCCATTCCTGAGGCATGGGATCCATTTCCTGAAGGCAGTCAAATTTGGCATCCCAGTTGTCCGCAACTAGGATTAGGTTACACCTCTTTATACAGGGTTTCAAATTGCTAAGGTCTGCTTACAGCATGCGGTAACTTTGATGGTGTAGAGATCACTTTGGGAGATGCGGTGACATTGACATCATATTCCAAACCTTACCTAGCAGCCGAAGCATACGTAGCTGTAGAGTATGTATGTATACATTAAAATACAGGGGGCATAATCCAATAGGGTGACAAAACAAGTAACCGGAACGATTTCTTTAGGGAGGAGCACCCTGACTTTGACTTCAGCTGCCTCTTACCACAAGCAGATACCATCAGAGTCAGCAATTCAGTCATAATGGCAGTGAAAGCAGGTAGGCAGAATAGCCATCAGGAGCTATTGCATGTTAGTCCTGCAACCAGTGAATATCAGTACTGCGGAGAACAACATTTCCTTAAAGTCCTTGACAGTGAATATCATGCCTTCGAGGAAGACGCGACTGGCAGTAGAAGCCAGTTTATTATCATTTCTAATGTGGACGAGCAAATATTTTCAGAGACTTTCTCAAGCCTTGATCCATGCAAAAAGCTTTTCAGCAGTTCTTATTTTGAATATATTCCAGATCTTACTCTACTTCTTGTGAGGATGACCACAGCAGCCCATGAGCAGGCACATCATGCCCTCAATACTATGTTCCTTCGCAAGTGTGCGTCCATGAATGGGTTGCACTTGGAGCTACAAGTGATGGGACAAGTCGCGATTACATCGAACGGGGTCACGAAGAAACCTGACCAGTCGTACCGCCCCACAGTCCTTCCGCAAACCCGTTCTGACCGCTGGCCTACAGTGGTAATCGAATGCGCGTACTCTCAGAACAGGTCGAAGCTTGCGGAGGACGCTCGCTGGTGGCTGTTGGAAGCAGGCGGTGCCGTGAAGACAGCTCTTAATATTACTGTTCACGAAACAGAAAGAGAAGTCACTATCGAAAATTGGGAATCAATCCCACGGGGAACAAGACAGGATGAAAACAAGAAGGTCGCGGAAATAACTCAGCGTGTTGTCATGTCCCAGAAGACAGTCAATGATCCCATTCGCGTGACAGGATACCCTCTGACGCTACCCTTCGAGCACTTTTTCCTTCGACCCGCCAATCCTGGCGAAGGGGACATTGTCCTGGACAATTCGGATATGGAGACCATCGCGAAATTAGTCTGGAACATTCCAAGGTTTAAGATGCCTGGGACGAAGTTGACGACGTCTTTGAGATCTGCTCGGAAGCGCGAACAGCATAGCCTGAATATCAGTACCTTAGCTATGGAATGAGAAGTGAGCGATGACTGGAAATGTACTTACATTACGTTTTGAATAGAAGGCATGAATAGACTCATTGAAATGAATGATTATTCTGTGATATCAAGGTAACTTCCAAAGGTGGTTCTATTGTCCATACTATTCATATGTAGATGAAAGTGTCATTATGTAAATGGAACGAAATCATCTTTTACAAAGCCAGTAGAAACAGTAGGTTATCCTTTTGCTTCTTCTGTTTTCGGTCAATACAGCACCTTCGAGGGGAAAGAAGGGAGGCGGAACGGCATAGGTTATCCATATGGTAGTTAGAGCGGCACCTGAAGACAAACATGAGCTTTAGTAAATACGAGAGATGGATACTAGAGAAACTGAGTCCATGTTTATGTTAATATGGGGCGCTCGGCGAGGTAGAGCAAAGACAAGGTCTTTGATATTCGCTATGTCCCGATCTTGTTGCTATACTTATCGAAGACAAGAGTGACTGGCGTCCTGAAACCAGCTCCCGAATGAAAGACCTCCTTCCCCCGCATTGCCATAACGATCTTGTCTCGGGCAAGATATGCCTCGATGCCAAAGTCAAGAATGGTTCGAAGGGTCGCCAGCCCCATATCGACGGCCTTCCAGAGGCAAGCCTCGATGGCCTCCTAGAAGCTGGCGACCCGCCTACCATCCCTGGCATCCCCGGCACGCTCGCTCACGAGCACAGTATTGTTTGGCTGTAGGGCCGCATGAGTCGCCGGAGTTTGTCACTTTCCGTACTTCTCGGGAAGCGCAATTCTCCCCCCTGCCTCTCCAGCTTCAGGGTAGATCGACCCCGGCGTTATCCCACGAGTGGAATGAGCACCCGGGTTGATTCCCTGTGCCACCGTCGCCTTTGCCAACTCAGACTCGGTTTCAAGAGTCTTCTTGTTCCCTGTGCCCCAAGCAAGCATGTTGAATGCTTTTCGGAACCGGACACCGCGCTATTGAAGCGCATTTGGCTTTATCCGAAACTCTGGATGCATGCGCTGGGTGATGTCGACGAGGCGGACGCGCCTGTCGAGACGCATCCAAGCCTCGACACGGAACTCTTCGACATCGGATGAGATATTGTCCGGGAGGATGGGAAGCTCACGCAGGAACTTTCCGTGGATCTGGTATGGCATTGTGGCTGGCTCGGGCTGCTTTGCAACCTTCGGAGGCTTAAAGGTGTAGAGGATGTCTGGGAGATTCTCCCAGGACCATGTTGCCTCTAGGCTAGGCACCGAACCCGCACCACCGCGAGTTCGGTGAGGGTCGGATTCGATTTTAGCGGTTCGGTTATGCAACTCTAGTAAAAACAAAGGCACGGATATGGCTTCACCCAAGCCACAACAACAAAAATCACCTGAATCCACCCGTTTCACCAAACCAAAAAATAGTTTGAGCCGTTTGACTTGGCACTCGGCGTTCCTGTGCAATTGTCCGTGCGACTCGTACTCGTTTACCCACTTTTTCGATTGGGCCTTGATGAATCTCGCTGCCTGTCCGAATTCCAGGGAAACCAGCAAGATCCAAGACAACTTATTAAACAGCTTGCCAAAAATAATTAAGCTTGATCCATCAAAGTCTAATCCTCTGAGAGCACAATCAGGCAGAAAGAATGTAGAGAAGCAAGTAGCCCCTCTCCCTCCAACTGCCCGAATTGTCGCTCCGCTCGTACTCGTAGCCAAATGGAGCGGTTCTAGTCCAGCATCTAAATCACAACTAGTCGATGGAGTATCCGTTTGTCTTGTCTTTTGAGCAACAACCTTAAGATACGAATACGATCTGTTCCACATTGGGAATATGTTGCGTTGTACTGTGTTCCTCCTGGTGTATAAATAGGCCGTAAGCACTTGGAGTCTTGCACTGTAAGCTTAGCACTCATCTCAACCAAACGAATAAATCAATTCCTGTACTCTGCTCACATCTATCTCAAATAACTCACTCTCCTACGCACTAGCTGTCCACGGATTACAGACAATATGGACTCCATCTCCCCCGATTCCAGCGGCAGCGACACAGAGAGCACAACCAGGTACGAGCTCTACAATCCAGAACAGCCTTCAAACATGAACCAGAATCAGACTAATGGCAATAATGATAAAGCATCTTAGCGCCCCAAAACCACTCAACCCAACCACTAACCTTCCCCCTCCCCCCTGTCCCTTATACAAATCCCCGAGCCCCCGAAACTAAGGCGAACCTCGTATCCCGCCTTTTGCTTGAAAAAAAAAAAAAACATAACTAGAACAATAGCATCCGTCCTCAGACCGATGATAACCACC